TAGCGACATTTATTAACCCCATTATAAGGTTACGACATTTGCGAAAAAACGTCACGCAGAGTGTCGCCTATACATACGTCACGGTAAATAATGTTGTTTTCGAAAAAAATGCTTCAATATTAGCGATGTTTGTATGTGAAGCGTCACCATTTTAATGACACTTATATCTTAGAGACACCGTTATTTCAGTGACGTTTTTATGAGAAAAATGTTATTGCATTGACAACATTTGTAACAAAAAATATCGTTACTTTCCATGGCGTTTGAATCTGAATACGCCTCAATATTTATGACTTTTGTATCTTTTAGGCGCCATTAATTCAGTGACGTTGTTATGAGACAAACGTCGTTGCTTTAGTGACGTTTCTATAAAAAATACCACTGAACTAGCGGCGATTATCGGAAAAGAACGCCGATACTTATTGTGGTGTTTTATGATACAAACGCTACTAAATTATTCATTTAGCGGCATTGCCCAACGCAAACGCCGTCATTATGTAAAATTTTTTTTTTTACAATTTTTATAATAAATTTTATTTTCAGTAAATAGCTTAAATTCAAAAACTGAAATTAATATTAACTTCATTCATGTTTAAATATACATCTAATTAATACAAAGTTTAATAATTAGTATAATAACATTTAAATTGTAAATACATTAATCAAATAAAAAATTAAAATGTATGAAATGAATGATTACGTACATTTTGCTGGCTGCCAATTGATGAAAAAAATTTTTCACCTTGATTACTAGCGTGCTCAACAACTTACTGAATAATACCATATAATTTTTAACACTTCATTGTATGCTTATTTTTTATTTAAAAATTTTAATATTTACTAAATATAATATTTGAGTTGATGGAGTACCAAGATAATTTTCTGAAAATTATTATTACACAAAATTCATAAATGATCGAATCGATCATGCAACTGTTGAAATTTTGCACGCTCTAGCTCCATTATAGCATGTTCTTCAATTTTGGCACACTCTTGTTCTTTTTTTGCTTTCATTTGCTGGAAACGTTGTTACATAGTTTGCAACTCCCTTCTCAATATTGAAATGTCTCGCGAAGACTGACTTACTAAGAGTGTAAATTACGAAGAGTTATGTACATAGTATACAGATGGTGTTAGACCCAATTCAAGGCTTTAGACTCGTCTATACCTTTTTTTTTTCAGCAACTTCTATGAATATCCAATTTTTCATTTCTACAGTTGAAATTCAATCTACTTCAATTCAATAGGTTCTTCTTGTAAATTTAAATAACTAAGTTTAAGACTAATTGATTATATTTAAAAAAAGTTAATATACTTATATTAAACTAGTGATCAAATATCAAATTCATGAGTTTGATTCTTGTAAAATCTTTTTTTTTGTGTTACGGAAAAAGTTCAGACGTTCAATTACCACCTATCTAATTCTTATACAAATAATATATTTATTTGATAGGATAATATCAACCGTAATTATTATGCATTACAATCTTTCAAATCAAGTATTAAAATTTTGAATACTTTAATCTCTTATATATTTTTTTTTCAATTGATTTTAATTTTTATTTAATTATTTTTAATAAAAAATTTTACAACTTTCTTTTAAAAAACTTCATCTAATTCTTTCTACTAAAAAATCTAAAATCCATAGATAATAACATCCATTTATACAATTAAAATTCAGTAGTATCTCCTTTTACCGCCAAGCTAAAAACCTACATTTTGACATGGGCATAATTTCTAGTCTCCGGAAGAGAATCTAACAGTGCAGTACTGTAACACGACAGTAAACACTGAGGCATAACGTGGATCAGTAGACACCCAAGATTGATTTTATTGTCATTGACCTTCAAAAATTGTAGAGAATGAATGAAAAGCATGAATATTTAATTACTGAATAGATTAAAAATGAAAAACTGTTCAGGAATTTAGAGGAATTAACATTCAATATATACTGAGACATCAGCCTCTCCGGTCTCCATTGAGACAGAAAATACAGATCGACAGATTGAGAGAGAGAGGAGGGAAAGAAAATGAACTTATTGAGGATATACGAATTCTTTTTGCATCGCCTGTTGAAGCTAGTTGGGTTGAGCCCCCAAAAGATAGAGATCGAGCCAGGGACTGTTATTAATATTTGGGTCCCAACGGAAACCACTAAAAACACCAGCAAACACAGGAAAAAGCCTGCAGTAGCCTTCGTCCATGGCTTTGGCTGTGACGGTATTCTAACATGGCAAGTTCAGGCGTTCGCTTTAGCCAAAGATTACTCTGTTTACGTGCCAGATTTTGTCTTCTTCGGTGGTTCCATCACCGACAAGGCAGATAGGTCGGTGGAGTTTCAAGCTGAGTGCATGGCCAAGGGGTTGAGAAAGCTGGGTGTGCAAAAGTGTACGCTGGTAGGTTTTAGTTATGGAGGAATGGTTGGTTTCAAGATGGCTGAGATGTAGCCCGACTTGGTTGAATCCATGGTCGTCACCTGCTCGGTTATGGCCTTGACTGAGTCGATCAGCAATGCTGGACTTGAGCGGATTGGCTTCTCCTGCTGGGCAGATTATTTGCTTCCTGTCTCAGTCAAGGGTGTTGAAACCCTCTTCAACTTGCTTCTTACGATTTGCCAAAATTGCCTAATTGGATATGCAAAGATTTTTTTGGAGGTAATTATAAGATATAATTAGTTGAGTTTATGTTCGAATGTATAAATTTTATATATTATCAGTGAATTAGATGATAATAACTTATCAATAACTAAATATAAACTCTTAAAATAAAATGTACAAAATTAAAATAATTTATTCATTAATGAAATATCATCATTTGATTCATTTTATTAATGAATTATCATCATTTGATTTATTTATTAACATTATATAAAAATTAGACACTAATAATGTATTAAGTATAAACTCTAATTAGTTTTGATTTTGTAAAATTAACTTTAAGGAAAATTTTTTAAATTATTATTATTATAAGTATTTGATAGGACTATTATCATTTACTATGTATTTTGTTTGGTTATTTTCATACATTTAAAGTTAATTAAATTGAAAGCATGCATTTATGACGGGGAGGTCCTATTACATATTTTTAAAGATATTTTAATATCTTTCCCATTTTGGAAATTATTGTAGGGGATCTGTAATTATAGAGAGGAGAAAGTGGAACTCCTAAAGGCTTTGGTCATCAGTGACAAGGAATTCACCATCCCTTGTTACCAACAGGTAAAGAAACTTAGCAGCTTACTGTTTATTTATTCATGTTTTGGCATACTTTGGGTGAAATATTTTTTGATAAAATTGATATTCTCGAAGAAATTATTTAATTGAATATTTGTTAAATTTAAAGTTACGAAAGTTATTCTTATATATACAAAGTAAATTAGTATACAATAAGTCCTCATATATATTCACTTTTTTTAATTGATTTTAAATTAAGTTATATATATATATATATATATATCTTCCGAAAAAAAATGCAATTGACTTTGCTCCTCCACTTTTTAAATTTTTTCAAAGGGTAAAACCTTATCCTCTTAATTAAAAAATGCTTTAAACCGATAATGCATATCGGCTAAACCAATCAGATCTTATAAATTAAACGACAATTACAACAAATATGAATAAGTAAGCAAAAGAACGATCAACATCGATCTTGCAATAATCAAATCTTTGAACAAGGTATGTAAAATTGTAAATTGTAAATTGTGGCAGAGGATACATCTTTTGTGGGGAGAGAATGACAAGATTTTTGACTTGGACACCGCCCACAACTTGAACAGTATGTCTATGTCCACTCTTTTCCCTCGTCTTTTTCAACTACGACATGCTTGCTTGCACTTAAAGCTACATGTGTATAATGAGTTTTATTAAATCATTTGTGGCAGGCAAATTGGAGAGAAAGCGACTCTAGAATACATAAAGAAAGCAGGTCACATTGTTCAATTGGAGCGACCATTCATGTACAACAGCCACCTCAAGAAAGTTCTTGCTTCTTTTTCGTCAAACTGAGAGAATTATGAGAATGTATAGTCGTGCCATGGATGAACTTTCTCAGCCAACAATGGAATGACCAGTTGATAACTAATACTTTTGAGTTGAATTTGATCCTGTATTCTTGTTCAGCCAACTCGCCCACAATGATAGTATCTAAGGGTACTTAAATTTAAAATTACAGGTTGTGGGTTAGACAATGGTGAAGTCAGGGAAGAGGGCAGCCTTCCTCCCTCCTCTTTGTAATTTATTAACTTGCTAGTACAATATATAGTTGTAGATCCAATTATTTCAAGCCAAACTAGTCAAAATTTTCATTCTTTAATGAGCGGCTGAACACCCTTGTCAGTGGAAAGTTGGAAGGCCAAACCAGTGGTAGGGGCGGATCGGTCAGATCAGGACGTCAGGTGTGGAACTGCGTCAGCGTTTTTGGAGATGTTGAATTTAAATGGGCTCGGGCAGAAAGAGTCGGAGAGCCTGCTGAATTAAGCCAGCTAAAATTAAGCTGGCCTTTACAACTAATATTTAAACCTGTGGAAAATTTTCTTACGAGAAATCATGAAAGAAATCTGTCCTGTTCAATTAGATTAAAGAAAAGTCAAGGAGACTTGAAAAATGAGATGAATCAGATGAGATTTATAGAATAAGAGAGGATTATTTTTTATTGTGTAGTTTAATATTGCGATAAACAACATGAAGCCTTTATTCATCAATTAAGACACTGATGATTTAATTTCTCTAACTTTTAGCCGTCCAAGTCACATGGGATAATATGGTCGTACTCAAGGATAAAGCCAAAAATTTGATCTTTGAGGCCGAGATTAAAGTAGTATATTTAAAGGAAAAAAATAAAATTAATACTGAAACCACTTAATTTAAATACAATAGTATTGAAATAAAACTATTTTTGAAGTGAAGGAAAAGAAATTTCATTTTAAATAATCTGATTCATAGTTTATTATTAAAATACATTAATGATAGAATAAAAACTAAAAGTCTCAACATAAAAAGGAACAAAACTTGGTATAACAGAAATTATGCTATTGAAAATACATAGTTTTCATTACAATTCATGAAGATAGTAGAAGAATTAGCTGAATTGAAACAAGAAAAGGAAAGGGGCTAGGGGGGGAGTGGTAGGAAGGGACAGCTTTTCATCCCATATTGATTCGCGCGTCCACATTTCATAGTAATAATCTGGAATTCAGTGCAGCTTAAGACACCTTATAAGCCTGAAAAATAAGCAAGAAAGATTTGTTATAACGCAATGATTAATTGTCAATTTATCATGTCAACTAATTCAATCCCGAAAACATCTGCTTCCTCCAATTCTTATGATGATGAATTAATATTTTTCTGATGGAAGTTTTACAGGAGAACACTTGCGTTTCAAGATCAAGTGAGATTGAAACTTGTGGGCTTTCTCTTGAATAAGAGACAGGATAAGAAGCTGAAAGTAATGTAGATTGTCGAAAAGCAGCAAGGGAGTTTGTGGAGTATTGGGTTTTGGACAAAACTGAAATATCAGATGGACCACATAAGTTTGAAACTTCTAAGTTCCGATGACTGATCATATCAATATTTTTAACTTTTCTTTGGCCTTCATTTTGGCACAATGCGGCATTTATCAACTGATTTATGTTTTCGTTGAATTCAAACTTTAGTTTAGACTTTAAAGCCATACAATTATACAGTAAGTTCCTCTATCAGATTTATTGAAACCAACAAAAGCAGGTAAGACTATGACCAGTCCGCGGGCTTCAAACTTCGATTTTTTTGGCTCCAGTAACTTGTGCAAATTTGCAATCATGGGGTGGTAATACTTTCACAGTAATGGAAAAAGTGCCAAACAATTGAAAGTCGTGCAAACTGCACCTAAAGTAACAGAACATGCAAGATGAAGACAGAGAAGGGAGGCTGAATTTTCATTTAGCATTACCTTTCATCTTCATCAGCATTTCTGGTGCCGCCAGTGGACCTGTAGTTTGGAATAGGAATGCGACCGGACTCGATATGATTAAGATCTTCAATAAGGATTTCATAGTGTCTCTTCACTTCTTCAGCAGTTTTTCCACCTACAGCCTTAGCAACATTGTGCCAACGATCTGGGGTGTCTTTGTCGTACAGGGCCAATGCCTTTTCGAACAGTTTGTTCTGCTTTGGGGTCCATGAACCTGAATCTGTGGAGCGTAGAGAGCTTGAAGCCATAACTACTCACCCCAAAATGATTTGATACAAAGTTTAAAGTAAAATTAAAACAGTTTCTAGATTGGTTATAAAAAGACTAGGAAAAGAGTTGGAAGAGAACAAAAAGAGCAAAGATGGTTTTTAGTTGAGCAGTCGCTTGTGCTAGAGATTGCCATGAGTGCTCTACTTATAAGCAGTGGAGAACTGCTAGTGGGGTGGAGCCACTTGGCGAATCTATATCGCCAAAAAGTAGCATAACTATGACCCCTCTCCTTAGAACCACAGGTTTAAGCGGGACAAGGTACAGAAAGAGAAGGAATGGAATCAGTTTCAAAGGAAGGGTTCAGAATTTTTGTATTTTTCTCCAAATATCTTTGTTGTATAACCATGACTAAAAGCTCTCTAGATCTTGGTCAATCTATTTCAATTAGCGGAGCTAGTACAGTATCTATAATTATATGTACTATCTAGGAACAAAAGCCACCAGTCCTGACACTGTTTCGACCAAAGTGAATTAGCCGAAATAGTTGACATGTTCACGACAGGTCTCGAGCAGTTGCTTGAGCCAAGCAAATTTGTTATCAACGCCAAGAAATTCCAACTGAGTCTTTTAAGTGAATTCAGATCTGGGTCTTGGCTTCTTTCATCTAAATCCTGTAATAATTTGGGACTTGGTACAGTAAAAGTTGTAAGTACTTTTGTACTTTTACCAGAAAACAACAAAACCTGATAAATAGATTCTAATCGGAAGATTTTCACCCAATGGTCGGGCATGCAAGTTTAACCTGTCTGTAAGGCATCCGGTTCACTCTTTTTTGCAACTGAAAATTCAAAGTACTTTTTAGGCTTGATGTGATCGTTTTAACATGTGTTGGAATTGTCCTGTTCTTACAATTTACTATTCGCAGCAGGAACAAAAGCATCCCGCTTCCCTTGAACTTATCTCAATGCCATTTCCTACCTTGTCACCCTGGTGTGATTCAGAACTTATCACGAATTCTTTTCTTCTCTGTCTTATTCGGCCTTCAATTAGTTCCAGAATTCTCATTTCATTTCTACCTAACCCTTATTCCATATTATGAACTCCTCACATTAATGCACTAAGGTCGCACTTTGATTTAACAGTAATAATAATATAGAAATAACAAGGAAAAGTCTTAATTGTTGAAGCCATTCGAGAAATTTGGGTTACTCATTTCCATATCAGACTCAAACCCTTGGCCTTCGACCCCTGTGAACTGATAAAATATGGTGGACTCTCAACATACAGCCAAAAGAAGGGTAACAGGGCAGGGAGCAGTGTGGTTGATGCAGTTTTTGTTAGGAAAATGGGGTCCAGTCCCATGTAAGTGGTTTTGGACCAAGTAAAGGCCATGGGCCTTGATCTTTTATTTTACACAGAGCCCTAGCTACTTAATAAAAAAGAGGTGGGGTTGTTTAAGGTGTGTGTCGACAACCAAGCAGAGAAAGAAGAAAAGCCAGGAAAAGCAGAGAGAGAAAAAGGAGAAGGGAGAGTTGGTTGAACGGAAGTCAATCTGTGGTCCGATTGAGTTGGAACCTTGTCAGGAGGTTTATGATTCAGAGTTCTACATTCTGAACGGTCAAGATCGGGTTTGAAGCTCTCTAGAAACAAATCCAGGGTGTATTTGTTGAGTCACTTATTTGGTGAGATTTCTCCAATTGTTTCTCTAGTTGTTGATTAGCTCTAGTTTTAGCTAGAGAAGAACTTTGTATAACTATTATTTGATAGTGAAGATTTTTCTGGTGGCCCGTGGTTTTTTTCCCTCTACACTGGAGGGTTTTCCACGTAAATCTTGGTGTGCTTTATTTTTCCTGCGTATTTGATTATTGATTGTTGTCTATTGCTTCTGTATTGTTGTGATTATTGCTTCAGGCGCAACAAGTGGTATCAGAGCGAGGGTTATTTTGAGACATCGATACAGAAGCAACCCAGGATAGAAGTAAATTCTGTTTGAGATCATGGAGGGTGATACAGGTTCCATGATAAAATTGACAGCATCGAATTATTCAATTTGGAAGCCTATGATGGAGGATCATCTATACTGTAAAGATTTGTATGAGCCAGTATTGGGTGATTCGGCTAAACCAGCAGATATGAAAGATGAAAGCTGGAAGAAGCTAGGTAGAAAGACGCTGGCTACAATCAGAAAATGGGTTGATATCAGCGTGTTCCATCATGTAGCGCAGGAGTCAGATGCTCACATTGTTTGGGAAAAATTGGCAGCATTGTATGAGAGAAAAACAGGTATGAATAAAGTTATGCTTGTTAAAAAGATTGCAACTTTACAGTACAGGGATGGACGATCTGTTACAGAGCACTTGAGTGATTTTCAAGATATATTTAATCGGATGACTACTATGGAACTTAAGATGGATGATGAAATGAAGGCATTATTTCTTTTGGGTTCATTGCCAGACAGCTGGAATACTCTAGTTGTGACTGTTCTTAATTCAGCTCCTGATTATAAGGTGACATTGGAGATGGTAAAGGACAGTATGCTTAATGAAGAAGCGAGGCGAAAAGATGTAGACCCTGGGAATCAAGCTTTGGTCACAGAGAACAGGGGTAGAAACATCGACAGAGGTCAGGACTCAAAAGGCCGTGGTAAGTCTAAACATAGATCCAAGTCTAGAGGTAAAGTGAAGTGTTTCCATTGTGGTAAGGCGGGTCATATAAAACGAAACTGTAGAATCTTAAAGCAAGAGCGAAAAGATGAGAAAGGCAAGAGTTCAGATGATGGCAATGTTGCAGCAGTGAATTCAGATAGTGATTCAGTTACTTTGATTTGTACACATGGTGATTGTAATCATGTTAGTGATCCCGGCATTGAGTGGATAGTTGACACAGGAGCGGCATATCATTGTGTTCCTAAGAGAGAGTTGTTTACAACTTACAAAGCAGGAGACTTTGGTTGTACCAAGATGGGAAACAAGAGTGTGTCGCAGATTGTTGGGATTAGTGATATTGTTGTACAAACTAGTACAGGCTGCATGTTGACTTTGAGAGATGTCAGACACATTCCAGATATGAGAATGAACTTGCTTGCTATTAATGTCCTTGATAAGGAGGGATATGAAAGCCGACAAAAGAATGGACAGTGGAAGCTTCTCAAAGGATCTATGGTAGTTGCAAGGGGAAAATTATGCTGCACAATGTATAAGACATGATGCAATTGAACGGTAACCAGGTAAATACCGTTGAAAATGATGTTTCAGCAAACTTGTGGCACAGAAGGCTGGCACACATGAGTGAAAAAGGGTTACAGGTTTTGGCAAGGCACTCTCTCATTCCCTTGACCAAAGGTATGTCTCTCGATTCATGTGATTATTGTTTGTTTGGTAAGCATCATAGAGTTTCTTTTCGTAAAAGTTCTCAGAGAAAAGAAAATAGATTGGAATTAATTTATTCTGACGTATGTGGTCCCATTGAGGTTGAGTCATTAGGTGGTAGCAGATATTTTGTTACTTTTATTGATGATGCTTCACGTAAGATTTGGGTGTATATGTTGAAATATAAAAGTCAGGTACTGCAGTATTTTTAAAAATTTCATGCCATGGTTGAAAGGATGACAGGGTTACCCTTGAAGTGTATTCGAACTGATAATGGTGGGGAATACACATCTAAAAGCTTTGAAGAGTATTGCTCAAAGCATGGGATCAGGCATGAGAGGACAGAACCTGGAACACCGCAGCATAATGGTATAGCTGAAAGAATGAATCGCACCATTGTGGAAAAAGTCAGATGTATGTTGAGGATGGCAAAATTACCAAAGCCATTCTGGGGTGAAGCAGTCAACACAGCTTGTTATTTACTTAACAGGTCACCATCAGTTCCTTTGGGCTTTGACATTCCAGAAAGAGTGTGGACAAGAAAAGATGCTTCATACTCTCACTTGAAAATTTTTGGGTGTAAAGCATTCATGCATGTGCCGAAAGAGCAGAGATCAAAGCTTGACAGTAAAGCTACACAGTGTGTGTTTGTAGGATATGGTGATGAGGAATTTGGCTACAGGGTATGGGATCCAGTAAAGAGAAAGACAGTCAGAAGCAGAGATGTGGTCTTTCATGAAAAAGAAACCATAGCAGATCTTGAAAAAAATGAGAAGACTACACGAGTTACTGTTGAGTGTGATGTTTCAACACCGACAGAGATTTCACAGGAAAGAGCCACAGATGGTGAAAATGAGCCAGAAACAAAACTTGGGGATATGGATGAGCCAGCTACAGTTGGTGATGAGCCAGATGCTATTAGTTTTGAGCAGGGGGAGCAATCCTCTCTACCTGAGAGTGTTGAGCAGGGGGAGCTACCTTCAGCATCAAGTGATGTAGAGTCTCAGCCCAGAAGATCTACTAGAGAGCGCAGGCCATCTACCAGGTATTCAAGTTCAGATTTTATTTTAGTTACTAGTGAAGGGGAGCCAGAAAGCTTTCAAGATATGCAGGCTACTCCGGATAGAGAGCACTGGTTAAAAGCAATGAAAGAAGAGATGGAGTCATTGCGAAAGAATGGTACTTATGATCTTGTTAAACTTCCAACAGGAAAGAGGCCATTAAAGAATAAATGGGTGTTCAAGTTGAAAAAGGATGGTGACAAACTAGTGAGGTACAAAGCTCGATTGGTAGTAAAAGGTTTTTCTCAAAAACCAGGCATCGATTTTGATGAGATTTTTGCTCCAGTTGTAAAAATGAGTTCTATTCGAGTGGTACTGGGATTGACAGCTAGTTTGAATCTTGAACTTGAGCAACTTGATGTTAAAACTGCATTTTTGCATGGTGATTTGCAGGAGAACATTTATATGAATCAGCCTGAGGGTTTTGAAGTGAAAGGGAAAGAGCACTTAGTTTGCAAATTGAAGAAAAGCTTGTATGGCTTGAAACAAGCTCCGCGACAGTGGTACAAGAAGTTTGATTCTTTTATGATGAGTCATAGCTATAAAAGAACAGCAGCAGATTCTTGTGTGTATATTAAACAATTCCCTAATGGTAACTTCATTATCCTATTATTATATGTTGATGATATGTTGATTGTAGGACATGATGCTAGTATGGTTTGCAGGTTGAAAGAACAATTGTCTAAGTCCTTTGATATGAAGGATTTAGGTCCAGCAAAGCAGATTCTTGGTATGGACATTATCCGAGATAGGAGAGCTGGAAAGCTGTGGTTGTCACAGGAAAAGTATGTTGAACGAGTGCTTGGTAGATTCAACATGCAACATGCTAAATCAGTTAGCAGTTCACTTGCCAACCATTTTTATCTAAGTAAGAAATCTTGTCCAGTGTCTAAGGAAGAGCAACTAGCTATGTCTAGTATTCCTTATTCTTCTGCAGTCGGTTCTTTAATGTATCTTATGGTTTGTACAAGGCCTGACATTGCTCATGCAGTTGGTGTAGTGAGCAGATTTCTTTCTAATCCAGGGAAGGTTCACTGGGAAGCAGTAAAATGGATTTTTAGATATTTGAGGGGTACCTCAAAAATGTGTTTGACTTATGGAGTTTCACAACCAATTCTAGAAGGGTTTACTGATGCTGACATGGCAGGCGATCTTGATGGTAGGAAATCTACTTCAGGGTATTTGTTCACTTTTGCAGGAGGAGCTGTATCTTGGCAGTCTAAGTTGCAGAAGTGTGTTGCTTTGTCAACTACAGAAGCTGAGTATATTGCAGCAACTGAAGCATGTAAAGAAATGCTTTGGATGAAACGTTTTCTTTTTGAATTGGGGTTGAATCAGAAAGAGTATGTGGTATTTTGTGATAGCCAGAGTGCTTTAGATTTGAGTAAGAATACCATGTATCATGCTAGAACAAAGCACATTGATGTTAGATATCATTGGTTACGTTCAGTGATTGAAGAACAGCAGATGCTATTGAAGAAAGTCCATACTGATAAAAATGTGGCAGATATGTTGACTAAGATACTTCCCAGGGAAAAGCTTGAGCTTTGCAGTAACTTGGCCGGAATGAGTTCCCTGGCCAAGGTAAGTTCCAAATGAAATTGCTATGGTGATGAATCTCCTTCTAATGGGACTGGAGGGGGAGATTGTTAGGAAAATGGGGTCCAGTCCCATGTAAGTGGTTTTGGACCAAGTAAAGGCCATGGGCCTTGATCTTTTATTTTACACAGAGCCCTAGCTACTTAATAAAAAAGAGGTGGGGTTGTTTAAGGTGTGTGTCGACAACCAAGCAGAGAAAGAAGAAAAGCCAGGAAAAGCAGAGAGAGAAAAAGGAGAAGGGAGAGTTGGTTGAACGGAAGTCAATCTGTGGTCCGATTGAGTTGGAACCTTGTCAGGAGGTTTATGATTCAAAGTTCTACATTCTGAACGGTCAAGATCGGGTTTGAAGCTCTCTAGAAACAAATCCAGGGTGTATTTGTTGAGTCACTTATTTGGTGAGATTTCTCCAATTGTTTCTCTAGTTGTTGATTAGCTCTAGTTTTAGCTAGAGAAGAACTTTGTATAACTATTATTTGATAGTGAAGATTTTTCTGGTGGCCCGTGGTTTTTTTCCCTCTACACTGGAGGGTTTTCCACGTAAATTTTAGTGTGCTTTATTTTTCCTGCGTATTTGATTATTGATTGTTGTCTATTGCTTCTGTATTGTTGTGATTATTGCTTCAGGCGCAACAGTTTTGATTCGTTTCAGACATTGGAATTGGAGCTTCGGATATTTTCACTCAACAGTATTCCAAAAAGTTTCTAGCTGGCAACCTGAAAGCCTACTCTAGAGATGTTCGTGATCACATTATGGATTGTTATATTGTTGCATATATATCTGTAGAGTCAACAGGTGCTGCTGGTTTTGCAGTTGGACAAGAGGGTGGATTCTGTGTCAGTTGATTGGTTAGTGGGGTAGTAAACTTTCCATTTTTATTCACCATTGCTCAGTGTCTTTTGTTCTACGCTTTGTCCATTTCCCTTTTCATCAAAAGCTGTTTTTTTTTTTTTTTTTTGGGATCAATCAAAACCTGGTATTAACCATGTTGATACTGTTTTGAAAGCGTTTTGATTAAGCTCCAAAACGAATTCAATGCCGAAAAAAATTCCATGGTTGTAGGATTCTCCTGATCATTTGAAAAATTCTCAAATATCACTAGTACGAATAATCCAAGAAAATCAACAAAAAAGAAGATTAAAGAGGAGAAACGGACAACGTATATGATCACTTTGAAAGCTCTGCAAAGAAAATTTTGCCCCAATCAGATAATTAGTGAATAAAGTGATAGAAGCGTTGATCTTTTTCCTTTCTTTTTGTTTGGAGTTAATTACGCACAAAAAAAAATTGGAATTTTTCTTTAATTCCGACCATAGACAGATACAAACTTATGATTGTTGGGTCATCGTCATAGGACAAAGATGCACTGGTCCAGACCAGTATAGCTCGCTCGTGATATGAATGTGATTTTTCAGAGACCCTTTTTTTTTTTATGCAACTATCTCCTCCAGTTTCCATGGCAATCTCTCCTCTTGTTTCTATGTTTTGACTTTGAGTTTGTAGACCATTTCCAACCAAGGAAACTACATGTTACTAACTTTAAAAACCTGAAATGGTATGAAAATTTTAAACTAAGACCAGACTTTGTCTTCTGTTTCCTCTATCATTCCATTAACATACTCAGTTTTGCTAAATGGGTTGATTTACTGTTGTTCATTGCTCTAAGACCATTCGGAATCCCAAAATGTTGCCCCATGAATCAAGTAGCCTTTCGTGCATGAATCATTGAATTGTGTGAAGATTAGGATGGATGGTTGCTCTTTGGTAACTTGCTAATTTGATAATGAGTGGATCCGTTTGCTGTAGAAAAGAGTAATAAACGGTGGTCCTATGAATTTACATTGATATTTTTGGGTTGTCAACTTCTAAACGAACAACTTTGGAAAACAGTGGTCCTTTCCTAGGAGGTTGGAAGGAAAGAACCATGGTAAAGTTGTTTAGCTTGGGACATAATTCCACTCATATTACTTGCGAATAATAGTTGTCTACGTGGGCTGCTCTCTGACAGGGTTGCCAACGAATCGAGATAAATTTTTATTCGTCACGAATTTGATTTGATTTTATATTCATTAAATTCAAACTCGATTTTATTCGAATTTTTTTTTATTTTTTTATACTCGAATTTGATTTGATTCAAAATTAATAAAATATTATTTTTTAAAATATAAATATTTAAGTATATATAAATAAAAAATTAAATAATTAATTAAAAATAAATTTAATATAATATCGGATCGGATTGAATTTCTTTAAAACTTGAATTCACTCCGACTTTGATATTTTTTTAACCTTACTCAATTTGATTTGACCTAAAATTTGATTTTAAAAATAAAAATTTGATCCTATGAAATTAGATTTGATCAAAATCCGTCAAAAACATATTAGATTACCGACCCTAAGAATCAATCAGTTCCCAGAATCCTGGTGGCTGGTGGCTTTAGGCTGGCTGCACCCGGCTCTTTTTATGTCCGTGACTTTTCGAGAGCCGAACAAGTCCACCACTGGCACCTGGTCCAAGCAAGCAACTAGCATTAGAAAAAGCACAGGAAAGAAATACATGGAGGATCAGCATAAAGTAGGAAGAATCTACGATTGGCAAGAATCCAAGGTAGATTTTGGAAGTGAAGACGAAAGACTTCTTTCGGCTAATTGATTGGTTTAGATGATAAGCAGATAAAAAGTACACGCCCTGCGTACCAACCAAAGGGAATCAAGAAAGCTTCTTTTTCACAAGTGTGACAGATAATTTGTTTGCCTTTGTATCAAGTTGACAGGATGTTTGGACTTCTGGGCAGGAGTAAATCGGATTAAAGAAAAAAAAAATATATATATATATATATATATCAATAAATTGAAAATACTTGAAATCTGAAATTGGTTGCATATGATAAGAAACTACAAAATAGAAAAGCAGATTCTCACATCCCCAAAGCATATTTCTTCTTGATAGAAATTATAGGAAAACAGGCAAACACGACATTTTATAAAATTGTTCCATTGAATTTGTATTCAGTTTAAATGATATACCCCTGAAATATACCCTAACATACATTCAATGCTGCAAGTTGTTGGAGCCACTTCATTTAGGCAACATCGCAACATGGACTTCGTAATATTATGCATCAGAATAAAACATTTTTACTCGTTAGACAACTTAAACTAAGTAGTATTACAAAACTTCAGTATAAAGTCAGACTTCAGCAGGAGGTTTTTGGGTTTTCAACCCAAACAAATTCTCAAATAGTTTTGGAGCCATGGGAGGAAGGTTAATGGGCTCGGGAGCCATGAAATTAACAATCTTCTCGTGAACATTGTACCTACAAGAATGTTAATAAGGAGGACATGTTGAACGTTAAGAAATGGACTAGATTAACATGAACTCAATATTTGCCAGGTGTCAATCCAAACACATTGGAAAACTGACCTGATCTTTCGACTCTTTGAGGCACGCCTATCAACAATCTTTCTCTTCTTAGTTTGCAGTCTTTTCAAGGCATAGAAGGCTGTCTCTGTGGTCAAATAATAATAATAAAAAGATTCTTAACACACAACATGTCTATAATTAATCTCGCAAGAGACACTTACAAGATGGAAGAGAATATTTACCTGATAATGTTGGGTCAACAGTCTCAAAAAATTCCTTCAGCAATTGCTGGTAAAATTCAGAATCATCCAGAAGTTCAGGATCACCTCCAGGAAGTGCTTCCTAGACAAAGAAAGGATTCAAGATAAAAATCTTTGACAGGAGAAAAGCAGTATTTATAATATGGATTAATTACAAAAGCAGGACTCTTATACTAAATATTTAGACCAAACTACCATCTGTTTTACTTTTGTTATGTACTGACTAGCCCTCATCACAACTTGACCATCAACAACTTCTCTTTCCTTCATGACTTTCACCAGAACAAGACATTTCTAAGCAAATGAAGTTTCCTCAAGAAAACCTTTTCTTGGTATACTGTAGGCCTATCAACCCAACTACCATGCATTCAACAAGGTATTGGCAAAAAATTCAATCCTCCGATATAGGCCCATCAACAACAATAAGCTTTGCAAACATTAACAACCCCCAAAAAAAGAGAAAAATGTTCCACACTTTCTATGTCAGATGAGCTGGAACCTTGCACCTGATACAATCATACAAACACCAGTTCATTCATTCAAGACTAAAGTAAATGAAGTGAAAAAGATCACCTCTCCATTAGCATTTTTTGTGCCCTCAGTAACCTGAATAATAAGGAGGTGTAATCATTAGAAGAAGAAAACAGAAAAAAAAAAAATCATAGTACAGAAAGTACACCAGAGATATTTCTAATGTTCTAGGTAAATTCAGCACCCTTAAACTAGATAAGATTTTACTAACGTACAGCCCCAAATACGCCAATTGCTGATCTTCTTTGTTGCATTTGCTTTATCATTCTACTTGGATCCCTCATATAAGCAGCCACTTGTTCGCTAATATTCTGGCATTGATAAAGAAGAGCCAAGTGAGTTTCATTTTACATCCTACAGGGCATGGATTCAAATCAGCTATGGGATCAAACCTGATTAAAAGCTTGCAATTTGCTTTTGATTGCAGCAGCACCAGTTGTGACTTCTGTCTTTCTCTGCCATTTGTCAACTGCTTTATTTCTGAAACCAGCTATTCTACAAGATTCAAGCATTAAAATTTCCAGTTAACTTTAAAATGCTTATATCAAGAAATATTGTTTGCACAAGGTGAATAGTAGCACGAATAAAATAAGACACAAAATTTACAAGAAAAAGGAAGCACAAAGCACATGATTGAGCTTGTCAAAACCAAAAAATCGATTTGTGAATGTTCATTAAAGCGCTGGTGCCAGCCTGCAGGCATCAACAAACCATTCTCAATGCAGCATTTTTTAACCTAGCAATTCTGAGAAGAGTCTGTTACAACAATCGGTAACAGATGATGGCTTATACTCTTTTAAGCAAAGCATCTCATGAAAAACTGATCTAAAGATGTCCAATCTGGAATCATAGACTTTAAAACTCACGGGGATCTAGAGCACATTTGAGATATCATTGGCAAGAACAATCAATTAAGAACTATTGTGTTGATTGATGAACGAATGCATAAGTCACTAAAGCAAACACTTCAGCCAATTAACGTTGTCATATGAACATTTCTACTTTAACACAGAATCTCAGTTTAAAATTAAGCAAAAAGAAAACAGTGATCCAAAATATGCTAGAGATACCTCCCATTCATTTGAGATATCCGAAGCCACTCTTCATCATCTTCTATGTCCAAGTTCTTAGAATCACTGGAAAGCTCCTTAGATGATTGACCAGCATTACCTAGAGCACAGGACGAGGGTTAGGACAATTAGAGCATTACAAAGATCCATAATGGGCATCTTAGTTATATTTGTTTCACATTTGAAAGTTTATGTAATCATCTAGTGAAAGTAACACATTAGAAACACACATTCAGTGAAAAGAACAAAAATAAACACCAAAAAAAGATAATGGAAGACAAATTTGATAGATTTGCAGTCATATATTGCAGAAGGATCTTCTAGAGTTTACAAAAATCAACAGAAAAAGAAACATAATGATGAAATTATTCTTGTAAGTCACAATCTAAAATACCAGATTTGGAGAAATATATAAATTGATAGATATGTAAGTACTCTCTTAGTTACTAAGACTGAAAGAAAAATGAATTTGAGATAGAAGATAAATGTGGTTAAAACCAATACGAGATTATCATTTGTTATTAACTTAAACTAAACACAGTGTGACAGATGCAATAGAGGCAGTGAATAAAAATTGAACAAGGGAAAACATGCTCATAGCATTTAAATAATATCAGTAAAGCTTCTGTCCAGTAACAGGAAGCATAAAATATAATGACAAAAGCTTTGCGTCATACCATCTACAGATTGAGCAATTGATGGATTCTTCTCCAGCAAAACCTGACAATATTATAGTAATACAAAGAAAAATTCAGAGGAAAAGGTAATTCATGGTAGGTAGTTATTATTACATCCATAACAACTAATCAACTGCTTGGAAAATTATTATAGAAAAAAAAAGTTATTAAGGTTTCTTGAGAAAAGCCATACCTCCTGCAGTTCCAATAAAGAATCTAAAGTCTTCTTTGATGCAGTAATAAGGTCTGAATATGCTACACTGACTCCTTCATCTAAAGCACAAAATGAAGACCTAACTGGATCCTGACAGAAAAGCCCTCACAAAAATCCTATATGAATAAACAAACAAGATATTCCAATCCAGGAAAGAACAAAAAAAGACACACACACACAAAAAAAAAAAAAAAAAGAACAAACCGGTACCTGTGTAGTCTATTTGAACTGGAGAACGCTTTCTGAAGTAAGAATCTGAATTCAAGAGTTTTATCCCAGAGAGCCTTGGCAAAAGAAGGAAAAGTTTAAGAATGTGCACACACACACAACTGAAAATTATTATCAGTACACAGTAAAGGTTATTAATAATAAGCCAAACATCAGTAAAGTCAAGTGTCTATAAATGCTAAGAAAGATCATATAATACCTTTTGGTTCTTCACTGCTTGACCTTTTTGAACATCTTCATCTTTATGACGCTTGAGGTTCCTCAATATATCCCTAAGTTGAAAATGGGAAATTTACAGAAACAACATAAATGTGATTATAAACATTGAATTCTTTACTGATTCCACACAACCCAATATGTTCCCAAACCCAAATTTGTCAACGTATATAGTAGCTAACCAATCCAATGTAACCTATCTAAGAAGTATTAATAAAATAAGAAATTCAAATGAAGCACTAAATATCCAACAGCATATACAAGGATGAAGCTAAGGAAAGGAAAGAAGTTGAGGGGGAAATGCTTACTGTTCCTGATTGTGAAGATCCTTGTACTCTTTTTCAAGCTCTTCCATCTCCCCATCGTTGTCTTCTTCTTCTTCTTCTTCTTTTCCATCGCTATCTTCTTCTACTTCATCATCTTCTAATTCTTCTTCTTCGCCATCCTGTTCTTCTGCTTCTTCTTCTTCTTCTTCTTCTTCTTCCACATTAATCATTAAATCCTCATCTTCCGAATCATCCAAGTCCTCCAAGTCCACATCTTTGCCTCTTGCTTTTCTTGAATGCCCCATGTGTCCAATACCCTTAATTCGAAAGAAGGAGAATAAAAATCCTATAACCTACTTGGGAAATTGGGAAGGAAAAAAAAAAAAAACCCTAAAATCAAGACACAAAATTGAGCGTTTTGGGATGTTGAATTTCTGGGACCGGTATCAGACGCCGAGGTTTAGGGTTTAAACATGTTTTCTTCAGCATCGCACCAAAGAGCCCATGTCACTCTAGGCTGAGTTAACAAACTTGGTATTCAAGATGGGCCTCGAGAGTTGAAACACTAAAAAATGGGCTTCCTTCTTCTTTCAATTTTCTATCTTGCCAGAATTAGGGCTCTTCGGGCTTCGGCCTAGTTTCATTCATAGATTGCACATTGTCGAGATTAAAGAACAAATAAAAAAAAAAAAAACTCCCTTCTAATTCTCAGCTTATCATCATATTATAATAATACAGCTGGCTCTCTCAAAATCATTTTGGCTTTGTTTGCACCCAACCATACACAATCATAATCTTGAAGGACTCATTCCCCACCAGCTTTACAGTTGTAGGAACCCACATCAAATTGCCCAATCTATGCCCAACCCCCCCCCCCCCAGCCACTGCTATCATTTTGTAATGACTAAATTATGCTAACAGTTTAAGGTAATTAAGGGTTGATCAATAATTTGCAGGCTATTATCATTGATCAGCTTTCAAGCAGTGAGTTTGCCATGGTTGGTCAATCTTGGAAAAATGTGAGGACCTGCAAGTCAAGGAAGTGACTGGGGACAATTTAATAGTAACCAAAATATTTGGCACCGTCTGTTGTCCTACATTAAATTTATTTTTTTTCTGCAATGATACCTATCGTAGAAATCGTACATCTGTTCTTTAATTTCATGGCCTCTGTCTTCACTTTTCCAGGTTTCACCAGAAAAATTAATGCATGCTAGAAAAACAGAGGCATTTCAAAAGCATTAATGAAACTAAGCCTTTCATTTTTTAGTACTTGAATTTTGAACTATTCATTTATATGAAGCATTACATTGCCATTTTAATTAGAGATTTAATATAATAAAAAAATATATTGTTTCTGGTTTTCTGCCTTGAAAGAAATGTAAACAGACAGATATGGCTTTGCATTGAGAGAATACTAGCAAAAAAATTTTTAAGCACTATCCTACTCTTTCTGGTCTCCTATCCCACAATCACTTTATCTTTTTCACCCTAAAATATTCTTGGCTATGCCTCAAAATCCTTACTACAGAAATCTACTGTCAATTCTATCTATCTATATATATCACTGAGGCCCTCTTTGTCTTTGTTCTTAAAAGGGTTATCCATAAGACTTCCATGTGATAATGTCTCATCGATTGCTTATCATTTCAAATACAACCCAATACTTCTAAGCTAAAAAATGGGTTTTTTTTCTCTTTCTGTCTTTGATTTTGGGAGCACTCATTAATTAAATTTAGTCGATGCATTTCAAAGGGTTTTATCTTTTAGCACCCTTTTTTTCTGAAATTTGGTGGATGCAAGACATGCTGTATTCTGGAACTCCCAATCACTATATCTCAATCTCATGCATTGATCCTCCTATTATAGGGGTTTATGCATTTGTCCCATTCTCCATTTTTGTGTCTTTGGAGGAGCAGTACAACACAAATTATATTCCTTGCTTTTCGAGGTAAGTTTGGCAGAACAAATAAAGGATTTACTCGAAACAGACTAAATTCATCGAAATTGCAACGAGTCCAAGCTGCGTCTTTACTAAAATACAAATTGAGAAAAAAAAAAAAGGATTGTATGTAGTAGCACTGATTGTGGGACGTTGGCTTTTGCCTTGATGGTGAAGCAGTTGTAGAGATGAGAAACCTGTCTTGACTGCTGTCTACTTTGATGCTGCAGCTGGCGTATTCTGCCTTTGACTGATCAACTCCTGTCTAAATGGCATATGCACGCATCTATTGCATGTGTGATTCATGAGTTCATGACCCCCGGCCTTTCAACTCTGGTCTTTCTCAAAGTCACTGATCTTTTTAGTTCTTATCATCACACTGCTACTGCTCTAGTGCTCTTCTCAGTTCATTTGTTCATAATATTCTTTTTCAAAATCAAATTTGAGTTGGGTTTTCTCATCTGTTATACAATCAAAACAAATGTCCCTTTTAGGAACAGATCGGAAAAGTTTGATCTTTCAAATTACAGCTAAGCCAACGCATAAAGCCTTATCTTTATATCAAGAAGGAAATACCTTTGATAGCAACATTAATAGCTGGTGAATTTCATGGCCCCCTGCATGTGTAATGTACAACAAGAGAGAAAACCCAAGAAAAAAGAAATAGTGGTAGTACTAATTCTTGCAGCTATAATTCTCCATAGTTGAAGCTTGTAGGAAATGAATTAGGTTTTCAATTTCACATTCAAATTCCCACTAATATAGTGTTAATAATCCATTGAACAATGCTATCTGACATTCTACAAATAGTGGCCAATGGGGCCAAAACAGAGAAATTTTCAACAAATTGATGTCCAGATGTTGCTTTCACTAGCTTTTACTTGGAAGTCTGCGAGCAATAGCAAATAGATACCGCATCATCTTTTTGGCCCAAATATACGCACATGTACAAAATTTACTAGCCTCTCTGCTGCAGGAGGCAGGAGCCTGGTCCCCTGGAACCTAGCCTAGACTGCTCTGGCACAATTGCGGTGAGACCCACTTGCCTGATCCAACAGGATTGGATAAGACTCATAAATTGAAGGGCGTAAAGCCATGAGAAGAAGTTCCTAGGGCACAGCCGCACAGTTTTTAATTTGAGACATAATGGCTCAAGTTTTATTACGATGAAGCACTAGATTATGTAGCATTTGAATGAACATGTTAGTTAAGCTAATTTGATATTAGAATAAATAACAAATAAGTTATGAGTTAATTTCAAAAAATACGTCAATATAACAAAATATAATAAGTGCACATCAACTCAATTTTTTATGTTCTCAAAAGAAAAAATATTTTATTAATATGAACGAAGTTACAATAATTATAAAAGCGCATTAAGGTTATCATCATTGTCGAAGCCAAAAGGATGACCTTAAATGAATAGTCCACATATTTTAACCAACGAATCAATTCAACAATACATTAACTGCTTATTTCATTTAAAAAGTAAAAAAAATTTTATTATTATACTATCAAAAACCATTATATAATTAGAAATGGAGATAATTTCTTTTTACTACATAAAACCCCTTTGACACATAACCGTTCATGATTCGATACAAAATTATCGCATGATATCTTATGTTCGTTCATAATTTTATATAAAGTTGGCTCACGACACATAGCGCGTGGAGTATAGGAAAAGGTGGGAAAAATGGTAGTCTGCAGAATTGGTAAAGACAGCCTATTCTCTATGACATTGACTAGTTTTTCCGGTTAAATTTGACGAAAGCTTTAACTAAGGAAGTTTACAAGTTTTATTTTTGTTGCTAAACGAATGAATTCTAAACCTATGACTATGAGTATAGAGATGTATTTATTGTTTTGTACTAGTAGTCGTATTTTTTTAATGAAATACCGATTTTGGCGTCCACGTGGGGTGGATCACAAAGGAGGTTACTGTCGACATTGGCATCAAACGTCAGGCAGTTGGACATTGCGAATCCAATTTATTGCATACATAAATCCACACATACTAATGTCCAAACTCCAAGCCTTTTATTCTTTTCTCTTCAACTTGACAACCTTTTTTCCTGTTTTAAAAAAAAAAAGGGCAATCATTGCTTTTCTTGTTTACTGTTTATTTTCCCTGTTTAGCCCATATGAGAGGTTTGAGAGCTGGAAAACTGCATGATTGTAACCCAGTTTTACCTCCCCCACAACACCCCAAGCCTCAAATGGTATATACTGTTTACTAATTATTTGATATATTTAGCTTCTTCAATGTTCCATGCATGAACAAACACGCTTTCCATCACCGGATTCAAGCAAATGCCAAAAGCATGAAAACTTCCAAATATTCATAAATGTAATTGTAAGGTGATACAACAATGAAAATGTTTTTTCTTGGTTCAAGTCTTGACTTAATTGCAACATATGTGATTCTACTTCCATCTCAATGTTTTGGAGACATGTTTTCTTTATGTCTTATACAACTCAAAATGAGTAAAACTTAGCATAATTCAGCTCTCACCATCTCACTCGATTCATTTTCTTTCCACAGCACTGAAAATGATTAAATTATATATAAAATTTTGAACTTATTAGAATTAAAAATACATGTAAATTAAACTTAATTGCAAACTCTCAATCATGTCAACTAAAATGAGGTAGAAAGAGTACTAATTATGACACTTATATAAAGACAACTTGAACAAGAAAAAGAATAAAGAAAGCAAATTAATTAAGTACTATATTTTGGGAAGAAATTTGATGCAATTTTTTTTTTACAAATCATATAATAAAATATAGTTCTATTTTAACTTATAAATTTGATTCTGTTCATGTCAAAAATTCGAATTAAATTTTTTTAATTAATGAATAGAATTTAATATATATTATTTGATTTTTTGAATCATTACAACTTATTTTCAATGCCTTGTTTAATTATAAATTCATATTATAAATTGGATTTAGAGGTTTTTCTCTTAACTCATAAATCTGATATTTTTTAGATAAATCGAATGGTTAGTGTTTTTTTTTTTTTTTTTTACTTTTTGTTATTTGTTTGTTATCACTTGTTAAAAAAAAAAAAAAGTAAAAATATCAACCAAACAGAACTTTAAAAATGATAAAAACCATGAGACAGAACAGCATCCCAAGAGCCCCAAATCCCAACTCCAACTCCATTGATATAATAAAATCTTAAAAGTTCTCTCTCTCAGAACCCCGCACAATGGAGTGGGCCTGCAATAAACTAGGATACCCTTTACATCGGATCTGCTGCAATATTTCATTACCTCCTCCTCCTAACCCATCTCTCCCCTCTATTATTTCATTCTTCGTTTTTCCATGAAAGGTAAAATGGAACGAAATCAACGACTATGAAAGGCCGTGTATGAATAGGGACACCTCGTTTTCGGGGCTCCTGGGCCATCTATGTTAAGAGCAAGCATTGAACGATTAGTAGAGTTGGTATATCGTATGGTTTAGCCAGAAGCTCAAATCTTTCTTCACCATTCAATCTGATTGGACCACATTGGCTTAGCCTCATCGTTTCCTTGCATATTTGACATAATGCAAAATTTTTTTCTCTCTAAAATATAATATATAAATCAAGCTTCCGGCGTGTATGGTCACCATGATCACAAATTAATAAGAATGTATTGTTTTGAAAGTGTAACCATAAACTAACCCGACATTTTTTTTAATTAAGAATTAAAATAAAAAAGTTATGATGCAAATGAAAATGAATTAAACCCTCTAATACATCAATAAAAAATTTAATTTTTTTATTTTTAGTTTGCGATAAAAGCAATAGTGTGATAAAAGATTATAAAAAAATTTAATTAAAGAATTTATATTTGATATATTATCAATATATAAATTTTATATACTGTCAGTAAATCAAATGATATTATTTTATTAATAAATAAATATTAATTTTTAAAATAAATATATAAAAATTAATATTTTTTAAAAAATTTATTATTATCTAATTATTTTTATTAATAAAATAATATTATTTTATTTATTAATAATGTATAAAATTTATACATTAAATATAATCTTTTTGCTCCAATCCCAAATAAAAAGGTGGAAAGGACGTGGATATTGATGATGAAAAAGAGTGACAGAAAAATTGAAGGGGCCCAGAAAGGGTAGTTTTCTGCTGACGAAGACCATAGAGAAAGTGATGGAAAAGGGAGGCCCCATTGGCCCTTTGTTATGGTATAAGGTTCATGTGTAAGCGCATGTAATGAAAAGTAGAGAGGTGAGAGGGCCGAGTTTTTTCTTTTCATCTTTTTTGTTTTTTGTTGAGTGATATATATAATGGAAGTAGCCTTCATCCTCTCTGGACTTGTTCCCACCAATTCCAAAGTACATCAACTCACTATTGCTGCCCCTTACCTTCCATTGCTTCGAACTGCCAAAGCTTCCAATTGCTGCATAAATCACGAATTAATCATGTGTGGTATGACCTTATTGATAAAGCAATGGAAGATAACAATGAAGTTCAATCATAAATTTAATTTTACCAAAAGAGGAAAAAGAATTTGGTAATTTAATTTGAGGCAACTTTCTTTCGAGAGATATTAAGGATGTCACCATTACAATCAAGTCATATCATGTACCATGATTTTTGGTTAACTTTTCGTCACTAAAATTTATTTATTTCAATCGTTAAAACCAAAAAAAAAAAAAAAATGAAGGCAGTGAATGACAAATAACTAAAACATAATGTATAATTGAAAATTAGTGACACTTTTGGAACCTAAGTTTTTTTTGTCGCTTTGACTCCACCTTTTCTTATACCTTCAATCACTTTCTTAGCATAAACATAAATTAAAGAGTCTTATTTTGAACTAATAGACAAATTAATGAATAAGAAATCTTTCCCCTTTTTTCGACAAGACATGAACCAATCATGTACTATTCTAGCTGTTAAAATCAAACCTATAATCCAACAACCATATGAAATTTCTTCGTTTTTTGTAATGCAGGAAAAAAAAATCAAACTTTTCTGTCAAAATTAGAATAATTGAACTCCTTTAACGTAATCCATTCGGACAGGGATGGTTTTGTTCTATTTAAGAACCCTAAAATATTCAAAATTAAGGAAATTAGAAATTAGAACATTAATTCTTTGATTAGTTAATTATTCAGGGAGACGCATGCTTCTTTTAGAAGGGTCCGTTAATAGAATCTCAGTCAATTTTATGGTTATATCCACGCTCTCCTTGTGCACGTTTAGGACACTAGAAAAGTGACTAAAACCGGTGGTCTACACGAATATTACGTGAGAGTGGAAGAGGAAGTCTCCAAAGCTGTCCGCCACAATCTGTTACAACATCCCAGATAGCCCTAAATACCAATCTCAAGAACAGAACCCCGTTTGGTCACGTCAGCACTCTCACATGTCAGACCAAGAGCACATGTATAGGCCACGTGTATCAGCCCACGTAGGTGTAGACAACATAGTTCAACCTTTCAGCCTGCCTTTGTGGCCCCAGAAGACCAGAAACATAATATGATTTTTTTTTTAGTTCCTATGAACTAAATATTTATTTTTTTAATAAATAATCCAAATATTAATATATTATAAATGAAAATGATGAATTACGTAAAGAAATTGACTACTTGGAGATAAAACAGAATTATTTAAATTTAACTTTTTTTGATTGATTTATATAATTGTGTTAAAAAACGGTATTTTTAAATTTAGAATTTAAATTTTAATATTTAAAATATTTTTGAATTGTAATCTTATTTTTTATAAAAATTAAACCTTAGCTTAGAATTAATAAAAAATAATAAATACTAAAATTTAAACATTAAACTTGTTAAATATTATATCTTAACGAATTAATCAGACAAACTTTTTTTTATTCTTTCTCTCCTCTCCTGTTAATTCTCTTACAAAAGAACAACAAAGAAACGACGCCGTTTTTCAGTCCACCGACAAGCCCACGTGGTGGTCATGTCAATGGCCCCATTGTCCACGGCCAATGGTTATATGATGGATACATTTAATTGCTCTCTGCCCCATTTTTCAAGCCCTCTCCTCTCTCTCTCTATTCCCTCACTCCGACCAAGATATTGATAAATTTTATTTTATTTTTTGCATTTACTAATTTCACTTTTATTTATTTATTTAATATTGTTTGAGCCATGGCAGTCCTAAAATTTCAGATGCATTTGTTGTTGTGGCAACAAAAGAACTTCAATTATAATAGAATTATCCAGGATATGTGGACAACAAATTTTTTTAATTGGAGTTTTTCTTTGTAATTTTTTTTATTATAAATGTGTGTATGTGAAATATGAATTTTTTAATACTATTATTTCTAGATTGATCGTTTATGAATCATTCCTATTGAAAATAACATCAGTCTTTCATTGAAATTGAAATTGACAGTTTCCTAACAGCCATGAGTCATATTAGTCCAATGTCTGTCATACATTTCAAATGAAAAAAAAAAATTATATATTAAATTATTTAGCTACAATGGCAGTTGTCAACAGGGTGTTGCCGAGCTTGGATCAAATCACTTCCGGTCAATTTGGATTGAAAGAATTCGAGTTGTTTTAAGATTTGAATCATTTGTGTTTTAATTATGTCAAGTTCAAATCATTTCAAATTTAACATTTAAATTTTTTTATGAAATATCATATTTAAATTATTTTAGATTCAAATTATTAAAATTTAAAAATCAAGTAAATTTAATTTTAAATTATTTTTTTATTTTTATTTATTTTTTGTTTCAAGAGGCATAGCTCTACGTCAAAAGGAGAGGGGAAGAGGTTGAGATCGAAACTCAACTCTATATCTTCTTTAAGATTTATTTGATCACTAAATTAAATAATTAAAATCAAATTTATTTGATTTTGAATTATTTTATAATTGAATTAATTCGAGTAATTGTAGTATTGAGTTGAACAAATTTAGTTGATGACTTTTTTTAATCAAATTAAATTAAAACAGATTTTTTGAATTTGGAAAAATTCAATAGCTCTATTTACAATTTATAAATCTATGATTTTTAATCTCCCTAACATTAATTATTTATCATAGTACTTGAATCTCTAGGAAATTTTATTCATCAGCGACTTTCTGTTACATAAATTATGATTATATCAAAGCATTATAATATATTTTCTTTAATTATTTAACATAAGTGAAATATTTTTAAATGTTTTATAAGATACCAAATTAAAAAAAAAATCAAAAATCGAATCTAACTATTTACATAATATATATTGTATCCATATGGATTAGATTCCATATATATGAAGTACACTCTAAAAAAAAAAAATTAAATAATCAAATTGATATAAAAAAATGCATTTTTAAAATCGTTGAAAAATTAATTTTAGCAAAACTTGAAAATGCCTTTAGCAGGATTATAAAAAATGTACTTCATACATTATCATGGAATGTGAATATTTTAAGATTTCTACTCATAAATTATGCTTACTTTTAGAAATTAGTATTACAATCTTATGAAAAAAAGTTTAGGAGATAATTTATATATCAATGAACATGTGTATCCAACTGAATTTTTTTAGAAAGTTTGAGGTTTGAGTAGTCAATAGTCATGAGAAGCACAAAAATTTGTGTTATAGTTATAGCAAAAATGAGGAGGAAAAAGAAAAACAAAATCCCTCTCTTAATAATATTATTTGATTCCTAGTAATGTCATAATCCAGTTACCTTCATTTCCCTATATATATGCCCCCCACTCTCCCTCTTCCCTTTGCCCTTAAAAGCTCTCTTTTCTCTTTCTTTCTTCTCCAAACATACCAAAAACTTCCATAATAATAATAAAAAAAAGTATGAGGTCACATCACCTATGGTTTATAGTACTATCCCTCACAATGAATTCGTGTTAAGCATGAAGTCATATAGCGAAACTGCCTAATCTTCTTCACCTTCAAGGCTATCGTTTTTCTGTTGGCTATTGTTTGTCCTGTCTGTTTCTTTCTTCAAATTTTCACTTTCCTTCTTTTTTTTTTTTGGGGGGGGGGGGGGGGGGGCGGGTGGGATCCTTTTGTTGTTTTAATTTTGAGGGTTTGACATGAATAGAGCATTGCCAGAGATGTTACAATGTTCGGACGTGACAGCGCTCGAGAGACAAAGGGCACGCTTGAAATGGCAACAGGAACAGCTTCAGCAACAACAAGAACAACAACAATTGCCAGAGATGTTACAATGTTCGGACGTGACAGCGCTCGGGGCACGCTTGAAATGGCACCAGGAACAGCTTCAGCAACAACAAGAACAACAACAAAGTTATTTCAGCGAGTTAAGCGGGGTGTTTTCGAGCCAAACCACCCATGTTCAAGGCTTTCAGGGTGGTTTGATGAGTTTTGACTCGGTGTTAGGTGACATGGTGATGGCTCCGCAAGTGAAGCCTGACCCTGGTTTGGAGACTGCCTGGCCTGAGTTTGGAAAGGTTGACATGGCTGGCATGGGGTTTGGGCCATGTGGGTACGGCAATGGATCGAGTTTTGATATGAATTACGCCATTTCTAGGACTTCTAGGTGCCAGCCAGCTGTGGCGGCGGCTGTAGCCGCCGAGGCGGTGGAGGTCAAGGGGAAGGAGTCAGTTGTCTCTGAGAAGATGGGTTCAGCCGTTGGAAGAGAAAGCTTCGAGAAAAGGAAAGCTGATAAGTTGCAAAACTCAAAGGTGTGTGTTGTGTCTTGTTCCATTTATTATAGTACTATTCTTTTTATCGTTTAACAGGAAACGTAAGCCTGGGTAGATATGTTGTTTATTTCTGTTTGGGGATTTCTTTCTTCAATTCTAAAGTTCTGTTTTATGTACCAAGTGTAATTTAGTGTTCTTGGTTTCTCTCTGTTTTGAGTTCGTGTCTCTTCTAAGAACGAAATTTTGGCAAAAAAACAAGTGCATGATTTCAAAGGATGCGATGTTGGGTAGGTTTTGGCGAAAATTATTAAATTGGAGTTGCTCCTTTGGTTATGTCTAGGTTGTTGCTGATGATGACTCCAAAAGGATCAAAGCCTGTGCAGAAGAGGGAGAGTCAAAAATTACAGGGCCGAACACCAACAAAAGCAGCAGCAACAACAGTAACAAAAAGAAGGAAACTTCTACTGATACTTCCAAGGAGAATTCAAAGGTTTCTGAGGCTCAAAAGCCTGATTACATTCACGTCCGGGCACGTCGTGGTCAAGCCACTGATACCCATAGCTTAGCTGAGAGAGTGAGTAGGAATTTGTGTGTTTTTCATTCTTTAGGTATTTTTAAGGTTGTGATCAAAGTTTGTTCTGATTTATTAGGTCTTTTCTATTAGAGAATAATGTTCTAATTTGTTTGATTTACGTTTTCATTATGCAGGTTAGAAGGGAAAAAATAAGTGAAAGAATGAAATATCTGCAAGATTTAGTTCCGGGGTGTAACAAAATCGCAGGAAAAGCAGGAATGCTTGATGAAATAATCAATTATGTTCAATCTCTTCAACGGCAAGTAGAGGTAGAAAAACCTATAGAATCTTCATTTTCTTCATATATTATGTGTCACCCACTATCTTAATTGTGTCCTCTGTGCTCATAATCTGCAGTTCCTATCCATGAAACTAGCTGCTGTAAATCCAAGGCTTGAATTCAACATTGAAAATCTTTTTGCCAAAGAGGTAAGGCAAAATCTAGAATATATTTCCCTTTTTAATTTTTATTACCTTTTCTGTTACTAATGTTGATTTTGTTTGTTCCCAACAGGTGTTTCCCTCTTGCACGATTAATTTTCCAGCAGTTGGGATGTCATCAGAGATGGCAAACCCTCCCTATATTCATTTCAATCCAGTTCAACAAGTAGTTTCTTCTTGTGGTGTGGAAATGGGAATGGGGATAAACTCTCCTGATGCGGCACTTCGAAGAACCATTAGTGCCCCTGTATCAATCCCCGATGCATCATTTCTTGACTCATCTTGCTTCACTGTAATTTTCTCTGCTCCTTTTTACTCTCTTCTACAGTATTCACCATGTTTCTCACTATAGATCAACACTTGCAATGCAGCAAATTCAACCCTCTCCAACATGGAATTTTGAATTGCAAAACCTTTACAATTTGGCATTTGACCAGGGAAGATCAACCCCCTTTCCATCTCAACCATTTACAGGTACATAAAGCTAACACGTCTTTGTTACTGTTGGCTCTCTTGTTTTGATTATTTTTCAAGGCAGAAAAAGAAGCAAAGTGGGTTTAACTACTGCTGATGGAGACATAAGAGTCCCCTCCCCCCCCCCCCCCCCCACTCCACAGTTGTTAAATGATTTGGCTAAGGAAGGGCAATGTCCCATATATGATTTAAATGAAGAAAGTTTCTTTAAAGAAAGCTTTCTATCATTTTCACTCCACAATGATCAGAACCATAGTTTTCATTCAATGGGCACTATATTCCATTTGCTTCTTCATTTAGATAAAAGTAAGCAACATCTTGACCTACTAATGTGCAGCTACAGTACACCACAATGACTTGAAAAAGCAAAACTGGGACCCTGAGTTAAGCTAAACCAGCAATTAGAACTATCAAATCATCTTTAACGAAAAAAAAAACTCCTCGTTTAGTTGTCATAAGTAAAGGGGAAACCATAACAATATTTATTTCCATTTGCTGTTGAATACTTGGATGATTGAACTGGCAACCATGAAAAGTTGGAGTAGGTCCTCTTGTTATACCCGTCTGAAAATTTCAGGGCACCAACTGATATTAGCTGATACTAGAGATGTGAATCAAAACATATACCTAATCTGATCATTTTTAATTTGATTTATACAGGTTCCATTGAAGCTAGCGATCCAAAGATGGAGATGTGAATCAGAATATCAGTCAAAGATTTATTGACGATTGAGTTCATTCCAGAAGCCTATGATCCAGATTAATTTTTCTTTTTTTGGCTTTTTTTAAGTTCATATATGGTATATATATTTGTATGCATACTCGAAAATATTATGAATAAGTTCAACACTAATCAACTTCAAACTTTATGTTGTTCAAATTGTATGTTACAATCAAAGCATAATGAATTCCAATTACATTTAAGGTACAATGAAAGGTTGATGGGGTGGAGGAGGGGACCCAAAATTTGGAGGGTCAGCCTAGCCCAAGGACAGGTGGTAAATGAGGTTGATATGGATAAATGCAAGGAAAGGTCAGTCTATTGTTCAATTGACGTCAACAGTCACACGGTTATTTGCACTATCACTGCCTCATTTCTACCATTGAAAGGGAAACTATTTGAATAACCACATTAAACTAGACTTACAGTATGCAATAAACACCACAAAATTTTGTAATGTTGAGGGAATGCATAAACTAATCCAGTGGCACAAGTTGTTCCTTTGTTGGATGAACCTAAGTGACAACTTGAAGCAGTCCAGCAAGGACAGAGGACACGAAACCTACTAGTGGACCATCTTGGCTTCCTTTTGAGACAGAATAATATGTTGATTGAGACAGTGATAATTACTGCATAACTGCATATAATTAGGAACAAGGAGAGCGAAAATTGTATGCGCACAGGCACAGAAAGCGCAACCATCCCTTAGCTATTCAGCTCCTTAGACTGGTTTCCATAGCTCCAAATCATATCGAATATTATTTTTTTTCTTGGGAAAATTGAATCTGTCTTGAAATATTTCCATACGGATTATTCTCTTCTTATTCATCCTGAAAGGAATTATGTAATGGTAATCCAGGGAGTGAATAATCCAAAAATTCCCAGATTCCACATGATTTTTACTTCAATATTAATATACACTGGAAAATAACCTAACTGGAGAAGAAAACTGGGGATTTTCTAATCGATGCACCTGCTCTTCCGAATGGATTTTTGAATTTGTCTATTATTATTTAACATGAAGTGATGATGTATGTATCATTACCACAGCTATAACGGCTTTACTAAAACCGTGCATAACTATAAAAAAAGATTGAAACTAAAGTTTGATGAACCTGATATCAACATGGATAAATCTGGACAAGAATTTTATACAATTTATAGAGGTAAATTAACTGCTCGTATGGGTAATCAAAGGAAAAAGGGAACTTGTCAACTTGGGTGAAAAATCTGAACTCCCAAGCTCCCTGTTTCAGCATTTTTTTCAAGTTCATGTTCTGTTTGTATTGTCTCTTTGGTTTTCTTTTGGCAAAACTTCTGATTAGGACTCATTACTGTATGCTATTTATTTCCTTGGGCGCTTCTTGGTTTTTGCTTCTATAGCAAGGACAGAGGACACGAAACCTACTAGTGGACCATCTTGGCTCCCTTTTGAGACAGAATAATATGTTGATTGAGACAGTGATAATTACTGCATAACTGCATATAATTAGGACTAAGGAGAGCGAAAATTGTATGCACACAGGCACAGAAAGCGCAACCATCCCTTAGCTATTCAGCTCCTTAGACTGGTTTCCATAGCTCCAAATCATATCGAATATTATTTTTTTTCTAGGGAAAATTGAATCTGTCTTGAATTATTTCCATACGGATTATTCTCTTCTTATTCATCCTGAAAGGAATTATGTAATGGTAATCCAGGGAGTGAATAATCCAAAAATTCCCAGATTCCACATGATTTTTACTTCAATATTAATATACACCGGAAAATACCCTAACTGGAGAAGAAAACTGAAGATTTTTTAGTCGATGTGTCACAGGTCGAGATTTAAGTTTCGAATTTGTGCGGCTCCAGGATCTGAGCATCCACTCATCCGGCGTCTCAGATCAGCCTGATTGTCAAGGTTCACACCCTTGTGAGGTATTGTCCGCTCTGATCTTTTTGCCTCACGATTTTGTCCTACAAAAAACGCCAGGTTCCGAGCATCCACTCATCCGACGTCTCAGATCAGCCTGACTGTCAGGGTTCACACCCTTGTGAGGTATTATCCGCTCTGATCTTTTTGCCTCACGATTTTGTCCTACAAAAAATGTTTCTTAAGTAAGAAATGGTGTGAACCCTTTTATACCCCAGTGAGCCTCTTATTATGTTCAATGTGGGATTCAAGACTCCTCCTTAGGTCCGTGGCATTCTCCCGCACCCAACCTCGTGACGTCCTGCGCTTGGCGTTGATCGAACGGTATAGGGCTAGCTCTGATACCACTTGTCACGAGACTTAAGCTCTGAACTCGGTTCACACTCTTGTGAGGTATTGTCCGCTCTTATCTTTTTACCTCACGATTTTGTCCTACAAAAAATGTTTCGTAAGTAAGAAATGGTGTGAACCCTTTTATACTTCAGTGACCCTCTTATTATGTTCAATGTAGGATTCAAGACTCCTCCTTAGGTCCGTGGCATTCTCCCGCACCCAACCTCATGACGTCCTGCGCTTGGCGTTGATCGAACGGTATAGGGCTAGCTCTGAACCCGCGCGGCTCCGGGACTCAGGTATCCACTCATTCGAGGTCTCAGATCAGTCTAACTGTCACGGTTCACACCTTTATGAGATATTGTTCGCTCTGACCCCTCTGACCTCATGATTTTGTCTTACAAAAGACGTCTCGTAAGGAAAAAGTGGTGTGAACCCTTTTATATCCCAATGAATCAATGATCCTCTTATTATGTTCGATATGAGATTCATGATTTTTCTTTAGGTCCGTGACAGATACACCTGCTCTTCCGAATGAATTTTTGAATTTGTCTATTATTATTTAACATGAAGTGATGATGTATCTATCATTACCACAGCTATAACGGCTTTACTAAAACCGTGCATAACTATAAAAAAAGATTGAAACTAAAGTTTGATGAACCTGATATCAACATGGATAAATCTGGACAAGAATTTTATACAATTTATAGAGGTAAATTAACTGCTCGTATGGGTAATCAAAGGAAAAAGGGAACTTGTCAACTTGGGTGAAAAATCTGAACTCCCAAGCTCCCTGTTTCAGCATTTTTTTCAAGTTCATGTTCTGTTTGTATTGTCTCTTTGGTTTTCTTTTGGCAAAACCTCTGATTAGGACTCATTACTGTATGCTATTTATTTCCTTGGGCGCTTCTTGGTTTTTGCTTCTATAGCATTTCAAGGACACTCTTTTGATCACGCCAGGGGCTGGGTTGGCAACTCTAGTTGCAATTTGTAACCTTCTTATCCGTTTCTTTGATTAGCAAAAAGCCAAAAATTAGTTTCAGTTTTCTTGTTAGAATGTAACTTGATTGGATTTACATTTTTCCAGATTATCATAGTTCTAAACTATGGACCTGAATTCCTACAAGCAAAAGCTGAAGGACTAGGAGATGCTTCTGTCTAGGGATAGTTTTAACGGTCACTTTAAAAACTACTAGCGTTTTAATGAATAAGAAGGGGACTTTTCAATGTAGGTTGCGGCTCTGCCAGGGACCACTGAAAGGTCGCCTGCACCTTCATTGCATCTACTTGTTCTTGGAATCACAAGAGTCTCAGCTTTCCTTCATTTTCAAGCCATAAGTAATAATGAAAGAGGTGGACCTGGCCTCATTCACAGGCAAGATCTCTTTGATTCTCTTTGTTGTGTTGATTGTGAAAGATGATATTGCCTTTCCCCTTTCTTGGGCCCATTTCTTTTCCGTGAATTTTTTTCCCTCCTTTCTAACCCTTCCACTCCACATAATGCAATTCCAAGGAATAAAAAGGAAAAATATCCCACAAAGATTCTCTTGGGATTGTGCGTACTTCAGTACAACATATATTAGAAATTTGTTTGGAGCATGTAAAACCCCAGTTCGTGTGTCTTTACCTTGAACAAGAATCCTGAGAAAAAGCCAGCTCCATTCTCCGATCTCCACTACTTCCTGCCAGAATTCCACAGACAGGATTACATACTTGCATATAATATATTGTTATAAAAAAGAAACTGGACTTGTTCAAGTGAAAATATTCATATGCTATGCTGATATTTTAAAGGAATATTAACCAAGACATATCAAACCACAAATTGTGTTCACAATTAAGTTGCTCCAGGTCGGGACCTAGGTGAAATAATCAAAGCCTCAGTCCAGACAAGTTTCACATATAATTGAAGTTTTTTTGTCTGTAATGGGACTGAATCGGCTGCTTAAACCCGTTAAGAGGGCTGCATTTCAAGACGTTAGCTGAATTACCCAGGTACTAGGCCTGTTTGCAACTGGGAACAAATGGGTTGGAAGAGGCCCATGAAAGTCATTCAATCAAGGGCCTTTAACTTGTGGAGTGGAGGCCTGTGAAAAACAAAATGGAAGGCCTTTTCCCATGTGCAAATTCCAAACCAATACAGTGCCTGAATCAGTGAATCCTGATGCAATGAATGTCATTTGTAAAGTGTACTTTTTAGACAGGCAAGGCTACACTACCGTAATGGCTAAAATAATTTTTTTAAAAAATCTAAATTATATCATTTTATCTATATTATATATATATATATAATTTTTTATAGTTTCGTGACACTTAAATAAACTTCTAATTTTAATTTATACTCAAATATGCTCTTAACTTTTAATCTATATTGAAATAAATTTTTAAATTTTAATTGGGACTAAATAAATTCTTAACATATACTAATTTTTTATTTGAAATAAAAATTTATTTAGATAAAAATAAAAAGATAAAAACTTATTTAGGTACAATAAAAATGTGTGGGACTTAATTAAGAAAAATAAAATAGTTCATGAATTTTTTATATTTTAACCTATCCTAATACTCCACTCGCTACAATTTCCATTTTTATCTTCAAATTGTAATTTTCTTTATAAAAAAAAATTACTCTACTAGTTACAAACAAAACAATTATAATATAAAATTTCCATTGCAGAAAGATAAATTTGTAGCAAGTGAAAACTACGGAAGCTACCCAAAAGAAGGAAATTCTGGTTTGGGAAATCAGATCGAAACCAATACAACATGAATGTCACTGGCACCCCAGAATGAATGAATTCTCAAAACATCCATGTATGATGGAACTGGCTTCCAGAGAGCTGCTGGACTATTAACCTGAATTAATTTTGGACGGGATATATTGCAGAAAGCAGCTGCCTGCAGCCTTTGATTTGTAATGCAACTCAGTTGCATCCAAAAACTGGCAACCGATGGACAAAATCAAGGTTCTGTTGTGGATTATGAGAGATCACATCTGCTGTTACAAATGGGCCTCTTTGCCGTTTATATTTGTAGTTCTGGTAAACATTTACATGCTTTCTTTTCGGATGACCGATATATCCAGTGATCATAAAAAGAAAAAATTGCCACAACATAGTTTGAGTTTATTTGGAATCACGTCATTCACATAAATTAGGATTTCAGCTAATCAAGCAAATCATAATCGAAATAATAAATTACAAACAAGAAATTGTATGGTAAAACTAGATAAGACAATTTTCTAGGTTCCTCAGTAACATTGTCGTTACATACATACAAACAACAAGCCATCATTACATACAAGAAAACAAATTAATTTCTCATGTTAACTCATTCCTCTATATCAGTGATTCGTCTCCAGCTTCTGCCAAGTTATAAAAAAATTGTGTGAATCATTCAAAATTTTCAATAGATAAAATATAAAAGAAATGGACTTTATGGATTAGGGAAATGGTACCTTTCCCAGGTACGATTATGACAGGAGCAGATTTGCAGTTGTGGAAGCAATACTCACTTACACTTCCTTGAAGAACACTGCAAAAGTACAAAAATGATGAGAAAAGAGCAAGGAAACAAGGGATTCATTTACTCATTTTGTAGAATGGCAAAGTAACACAAGCACAAGCATCCACATAGAAAGATGTAGCATGTAGTTAAGGGGAAAGCAAACCTTTGTATTAAGCTTCTACCACGAGTTCCCATAACCACTGCTGCTGGCTTCAACCTTTCTGCTTCCTTGCAAATTGCCTTACCTGCATCACCCTCGACTATTCGAGCAGTAGTCCTCACCTAATCAAAGTTTGGAACTTCCCTTTAAGTGCCACATTAAAAGTTAAAGACATGGAACCAAACAACCTATATTTTGCATTATGAACCTATACATATGTAGAGATTACAATTGTCTTCATGAAAATTGTTACACATTTTCCTTCTTGATAACAAAAATGAAGTAATCTGCAGATCACAATCAATATACTCATCTATTGAAATAATAGACACAGATGAGTGCATCAACGATCAGCCTATGTTAAAATATCCATACAATAGGAAAACATATTCCCTGCTAGACAAGGCACACAATCTGAATGATCTTGCAATACAATTTCACATCTTTAAGCAATAAAATAATAATAAAATAAACTAACCATGGCAACCTCAAAAGCCTCCACAGCTAACTTCTCCATAAGACCTTGACTGGTTTCATAAACAATCTCGTTTCTTACGCCTATCAAGAAAAAAACCCAGAAAGGAATCTGACAAATAACTAAAAAAATAATCTAAAAGTTTATTACTTTCCAAGAAATAACCATCTGATATTTTTTGCTTACTGGAAACAGCATGGACAAGATGGATGGTATCAGCAAGCCTGACGAGGTGAACAAGTGCCCAATCAAAGGCGTGTTTGCTGTTGGGACCATGATCAACGGCTATTAATATATCTCTGCCTCTCCTTCTCTCCCCTGTCTCCCTTTCTAGCCCTGGCTCTGGAACTATTGGGATCAATCTAGGCAAAATTACTTCTCTGAAATTGTACTCCTCATCTTCCACAACCGTCTCCATTTAGTCGAATGATTCCAAAACGATTCCTTCAAGACAGAAAAAGAAAGGTTTAAAGGTTTTTTCGTTTCTGAATTTGGTTTCGTTTCCTCTTTTGGAGTGTTGCTAGTTGGAACATAGGATGGAACACGAGACCTAACTTTTGATTAGTAGGGTTTGGTGTCGCCGCCAGAGACCAAACAAATTACGTGTTTGAACTTTGAAGCGTGTGTCGTGTCCAAAAATCATTGATTCATACGAACTAACTCACAGAGTTGTTATATTGTCGCAGCCCATCGTTTTGTCGGGTTTTTCATTAAGCATTTTTAAGAATCCAATCAAGCCCAAGACCTGGCAATGGGCTCAGGATAGCACGTCGGATCAACCGATCCCACAAGTTTCAGTTCTCATAATTTCTGAATATCGTATTATTATAGAATGCTTAAATAATCCAATTCCATTCAAATCCCAAAATCAAAATTTTAAAAGAAAACAAAGAAAAATGATTTCATTCTCACCAAAAGAAAAACAAAACGAAAAGAAAAAAAGATAAGAGAAGACGCTCAGAAGATGTTTAGAATGGATGAAAGAGTTCATCCTCATATTTCGAATCAGATTAACGAGATTTGATTTCTATAATCATCATCGCACCTTCTCTTTCTTCATTTAACCTTAAAAAAATTACGAAATTCAAAAAAAATAAAAAAACAGAAAATGGTTAAGGGATAGAGGTTAGGGTTTTTTATGTAAGCAGTGGAATACACGAAGAGATCTGCTTTTGAAACCAACCCAGTTTTGCAGTTAGGGTTTAGAGACCTTGCTATTATTTATAGCTGGAACCTCGAGTTTATTTACGAAAATGCCATTAAAACTTATGTCGGGTTTAATCTGGGCCCTGAACGCCAACCCAGGCCTGTCTTAGATCAAAATCAAGTAAGGCTGAAAACGTTCTCCACTGTTGGCTCAATAATAATTTTTCAGGTAAGGGTAAGAGTTTGAGAAGAGAAGATTCAAAACCAAATTTTAGGAAGCAGGCCTCTGACACTCATTGTTTAGGCTTCTATATTATGTGTATTCAATTCCTATTCTAATTTTCATGTAATGGGCCTCCAAACAAGTGCAAAAGCTATGGAATGGACTTTCCTCAAACACACCGCAATTTTAAGTCCAAAAATCTTATAATCCATTGATTATGTATTATGCTGCTTTTAGACTGAAACCATTTTGCACAACTACCTTTATTGATTGATACATGTGTATGTCCAATTTGGATGACTTGATTTCGCAACTGAGATTACCTGTAAGCTCGCTGGCTTGTCTCCAAATTCTAATGAAATGAATTTGTGGCTGTAGCACACATTTGGGACTGTAGAGTAGAACACATTTGGGACGGCTGGCGAGGCCGTTGCAATAAGGGTATCAGGAGACAGAAATGCATTCTATGGATGTAGGATTCTCTCCTGGATGATGCTGGAAAGCATTATTGCAGCAACTTCTACATTGAAGGAGCCACAGATTTCATATGTGGAAATGCTGCCTCCTTTTATGAAGTGGGTGCTTTAGATATTGTCTTAAGGGGAACAAATTTATGGTAGAAATTCAGGAGTAAAAAATTTCAAGCTTGACTGGCAAATTGATACAACTTTAATCTCCTTGTAGAGGTACCATTTGCATTCCCTTTCAACAGTAAACGGGTCTATCACTGGCACTGCTGAAAATAGGATTTCACCGTCAGAGAATACTGGTTGCAAGATCACTGGTATTGTTGCTGCTCTCCTTCGAAGGCTACGGGGTGCTTATTCTCTGGTAGTCTTTGCCCTGACATATACGTCCAGTGTGATAGTCCCACAAGGATGGGATGACTTTTAAGACCAAAACAAGCATAGGTCTCATTCTACAAAACCAATATGTCAATACCTCCTAATGTCACTTGTACTGAATTTAGGTACTCACTACCAAGTTTACACGGAATTTTAACAATTTCCCTTTTACATGGCAGTACTGTTTATTATGGGCAATACAAGTGCTACGCTCCTGGAGCTGATACAACGAAGAGGGTTCAGTGGTCACACTGCATATCACAAGATGAACCTGCACCATTTTTGACAGAGGGAATGATTGGAGGGATAGATTGGCTTGGACCGGCACCCACTAATTTCAAAAGGCGCTCCAGTACCATTGCCACAATGCTTAATGAAAATAATGTCTCTTATATTAATTGGTGTGTATTTTTCGATTTCTCTGATTCTCCAAAATTCATTGTTCTTTGTGATTTGTTATTGTATAAAATTTAACACAACATATATTTGATTGATTTAGTAGTCTACGACAGACACTTGGTGTTGTATCAACATTCATTTTCCCAAGTGAGATATGGCTGTTGTCATGTCCTTAAAAAAACATTTTGAACAACCAAAAGCAGCTGGAATCCGAAGTAAATCTTTACACTTTTCCTTGACGGTAAAGCTCACCAGCTCAGGGCGGTGATGTTTGGTTCTAAGTAGCTCTCATGTTTATGTTCTTAGTATTTTATCAATAACATGTGGTTTTACAATCGTCTTTTCAAGTCCCTATCATATTTTGCTTACAAGCGTTGATGTTCAACCTCTGTTCTTCCTCTACCTAATTCAACAATGTACCATTTCCTTTCCCATTTAACAAACCGATAGCATTACTTGACCTTTTTCAAGCTCTATAAAACCATTAAACCTGAACTCCCCCTGTCTAATTAGAAGATACATCATCCAAAATTCAAAGAATTAAGCTCACAAAATGGCCATAGGCAAAATTTTCTTCTCAGGATCATTCTTTTTCTTCCTCTATCTAGTTGGCTTCATTTCTATTCCTGCAGATGCAGCAGTGAAAAGATACCAATTTGATGTAGGCATATTAAATCAGTGGCATGTTTTGTTCACTTTTTAGCTGCATTTTTTTCTTTCTTAATGACAGTTTGGCTTTCTGTTCTTCCAGATTCAAGTGAAAAATGTTAGCCGGTTATGCCATGCAAAACCTATTGTTACCGTAAATGGAATGTTTCCAGGGCCAACAATATACGCGAGAGAAGGCGATAGAGTTCTCATCAATGTCACAAACTATGCCCAATATAACATGTCAATTCATTGGTAGCAAATGAATCATTTCTTTAAAAAAAAAAATGTGATTTTCATGTCACGGGATCAATTATTAGGTTTTGTTGATATAATTGTTGGTCATGGCAGGCATGGACTTGAACAATTTCGCAATGGATGGGCAGATGGACCGGCTTATATAACACAATGCCCTATCCAGACAGGGCACAGTTACACGTATGATTTTAATGTAACAGCTCAAAGAGGAACCCTGTGGTGGCATGCACATATCTTTTGGCTAAGGGCCACAGTCTATGGTGCAATTGTAATCATGCCAAAACAGGGGACCCCATTTCCTTTTACTCAGCCATACAGAGAAACTAACATAATTTTAGGTGGGATGATTTTAATCCATATTGGTGGGCACCATTTAATTAGATTATTCTTGTAATTCTAGAATTCTTGTATTGGTGCAGGTGAATGGTGGAATAACGATGTGGAAGAGATTGTTAAACAAGGGAACAAGTTGGGATTGCCACCGAATATGTCTGATGCTCATACAATTAATGGAAAGCCAGGGCCATTATTCCCATGTTCAGAGAAACGTAAGCTTAGTCATTGTAATGGACTATTGTATTAGGCATTAGCATTTGGATTCAGCATAAAAGGCCTTACATTGTTGTTTTCCATTTATGTTTCAGATACATTTGCGATGGAGGTAGAACAAGGAAAGACTTATCTCTTGAGAATCATCAATGCTGCACTCAACGATGAACTTTTCTTTGCCATTGCTGGCCATAATATGACGGTGGTCGAAATAGATGCAGTTTATACTAAACCTTTTACAACACAAGCAATTCTAATTGCACCAGGGCAGACCACCAATGTTCTTGTTCAAGCCACCCAAGCACCTGGTAGATATTTCATGGCTGCTAGGCCTTTCATGGATGCACCATTGACCGTAGACAATAAAACCGCCACGGCTATACTTCAATATAAAGGTGTTCCAAACACTGTCCTTCCGATCCTTCCTCAGCTGCCATCACCCAATGACACAGCTTTTGCATTGAGCTATAATGCCAGACTTAGGAGCCTAAATTCTCCACAATACCCAGCAAATGTGCCCCTTAAAGTTGACAGGCATCTTGTTTACACAATTGGATTAGGAATTAATCCATGTGCAACTTGCCTCAATGGAACACAACTCACTGCGTCTTTGAACAACATTACCTTTGTTATGCCGCAGACTGGGCTTCTTCAAGCTCACTATTTCAACATCAAGGGAGTATTTAGAACAGATTTCCCTGACCGCCCTCCCAAACCTTTCAATTATACCGGTGCACCATTGACTGCCAATCTTGGTACTACATTAGGCACCCGACTAAGCAAGATTGCTTTCAATTCAACAGTTGAGTTAGTACTACAGGATACCAATCTTCTAACAGTTGAATCCCATCCATTCCACCTTCATGGTTACAATTTCTTTGTCGTTGGGACTGGAATCGGCAACTTTGATCCCGCAAAAGACCCAGCTAAATTTAACTTGGTTGATCCTCCCGAAAGAAATACAGTTGGAGTACCCACCGGTGGTTGGACCGCCATAAGGTTCAGAGCTGATAATCCAGGTAACATTCACCAGAAACTCAACATAAACATGACATTAAAATGAAAAGCAATTTTAACAAAACGAAAACAAGTTCTAAACCAATTATTTTCTTTCTTTAGGAGTGTGGTTCATGCACTGTCATTTGGAGCTCCATACTGGCTGGGGTTTGAAAACAGCTTTTGTGGTGGAGAATGGAAAAGGACCAGATCAATCCATTTTGCCCCCTCCAAAGGACCTTCCTCCTTGTTAGTTGGCTCCTGTTTGACACAAAACAGCTAAATCTCCTTAAGCTGACTGTTTTTCTTATCATTCTTACCTGCAAAGACCGGGAACTAAATTGGAGGATAAATTTTTTTTTAAATTTTTATGTATATGAAGGATAATTAAAACTGTATGAGATTCTTGAAATTGCTAGTAAAATCTTCTTGTGTGGAATAAAATTATTTGATTTGAAAATTTTTTATTCTGTTTTTTTTATTCGAATGTATGGTGTCCCTTCACTTCATCGCTTGTGTCTCATGGAATTGAAAGTAACTTCATTCACGAAAGAAGAAGACATACACTTCCTCGTAAAAACAATTTAATCTCAGTTACTTTAAAAAATACATCAAATAGAAATTTGAGGTTTAAAATAAAAAAAAAATTAGTCTCTTTTTTTATTATTAAAATCTTAGATTACGATTTCTTTTAAAAAAAATAATTTTTTAAGGCTTCTTAATTTTGCATAAGAGTTAATTCACTTTCAAAACAAATAATTCTTTCATTTTGCTAGTTAGTGTGTGTTATAATTTATTATTACATTTTATATATTGAATTTCTTTCATCTGATTGAATGTTATATTGGATTATTAATATTTATTTTCTCTTATTTTTTATTCATGTATTTACTCATTTTCATTGATTTATATTTGTATATTGAATTTCTTTAATCTAATTGAAAGTCATTTTATCAATATATTTTTCTAGTTTAAATTTTAAGTTCTGCACTATATTTATTATAAATTATGATTAACGGTCAAAGATAAAAATAATTAACTATATTTATCAATAAAATTTTAGTAATATGAAAGAGCGCGATTAAATAAATTAATTTACCTATCGTTCATTTTTTTTTTCTTTTGGTTATTACGAATGTTATAAAGGCTCAAATTTATAATATACAGCAATATTTTATATGGTGCAACCTAAAATATAGTATATAACATATATATATATATATATATATATATATATAAACTTTAGTTTGACCCCTTGAAAAGATTTTCCGGCTTCGTCCTTGTTGATGACGTTAAGGAGAGTGTTTATCATCATCGACAAATTATTATGACTTTGTAACAAGAAAAAAAAAAAGAAAATACTTTGCATAATATAATAATAATAATAATAAATCCTTAGTCATCTCTTTTATATTGGCTACAATAAGATCTCCAAAGTAAAGGAGACATGAAATAATTTTCATGGATTATTTGATGTACTCAATTTGTATCCCTTCAATTGTGACATTGCTACAACTTGTTGTCCTTGGTAACAGTGTTACCCAGATGCTTTCATCTTGATCGGCTTCCAAATCTTTCAATAGTTCTGACACCCCCAGTTTAAGATTGATCTTCCTCTTCATCATCTCTCCACCACCAGGGATGTGAGCAAAGGTCCCTGCGAATTCCCTGAACTTTGGACTGATTATTGTCTCGTCAATCAAATTTACATACACATCGAACTTAACATATGCGTCTCCTTTCACTTCAATTCCATGCACAACTATGGTTTCTTCCTCTTCTTTCTCCCTCTTTATCGAATGATCTTTAGATCTGTTAACCTTTATTGTCAAGCTAGTGTCTAGAGCTCGACCTTGGGACCCGAAATCAGATGATGAAACATGGTTGCCTGACAATTGAAATTGTTTCTCATTCTCTTTCAATTTTAATATCTGACGAGCGAATTTTGGCGGAACTGAAGGTGAGGGGCGTTTTTCCAGCCAAGGACGGTCAACCTCCTCGTAAGAATAACCAAGTTTGGTAATATCAAGAACATCACGAACCTTGATCTTTACCAGCTTCAAGTTCTCATCGTAAAACAAACAAAAAGAGTCAAGCCAATCTGGATCTTTGATGTCCAATTGATGGTTATGAATCTCCCTCCAAACCTCCCAAAGCCGATCAATATTGGAATGATGTGCATAGAAAATGGGGTCTTTTGCTGCTGAGTAAAACTTGCCCATATCTTCCCTTCCAGGATTCAAATTGCTGCCAATCCATGTGTGCAAAGTGTTGTGAGGAGCACTCTCTACAGTGCCAGGCGCATTACAATACCCCTCGTTGGCTTTATACGTGCATCCCATGAACAATTCTGTCTTCCTTGCACCAGATACCATTTGGCTATACATAAATGCCAAGTTTGTGTCTAATTGGTCTTCAGGACTTAAATTTCTGTCAGAAACATAGTTTAAATCTGCCATCTGTGGTGGAAAATGTGAAAAATCACGCTCTGAATGAAAGAAAGTTAAGCTTCTGTTCACATAAAAATCTGGAATCATCATTCCTTCTGGGATGTCCCAAGTCCAAACGGGCAAAGCAAAGGTGTCATCTCCAACTAGACTACCAATGATGCGTTCGTGGAAGTAGATCATCATGCGGTGCCAGGGAAAGAATAACCACGTTCTGTGAATATTGAGAGGAGTATCGGAGTTTTGTTGCTCGTAGGCTCCAGTGCAAAAGAGACAGTGCAAGTTGGCTTGACGGACAAAATTTCGAGGATCATCATATGGGAGGGACTTCATGATCGACAAGGCCTTATTATATTTGGCGATGTAGTTCTCGTCCAAAAGGTGGGCTGGCCTCCGCACTCGTAGAGGTGATTTAGGATCAGGAAACTGGAAATCGACAAAGGGCCCTGGCGTTTCAAATCCGGCAGGGCAACAGTAAACAAGAAGATCTGGACGACCATAAGATGGATGGCACGCTGTTAAGTTTGGCCCAATGACTTTACTTGCAGCCTTGTCTATGCTAAGGTCGTGGTGGTTACTGGAAGCCCAGCCTCCCAGCTTGCCAAATATCATGTTTGTCAGTTCCCTGGACAAATCAAAATTAATACGGGTCAACAGAACCTAAAATGAAAAGAAAGGATATACATGCATCAAGTAACATATCAATGGATGAATGACAAGAAAAAGAATGGGCAAAAGAAAAAAAAAAAAAGACTGGCACAATCAAGTACCCCATGTATAAATGCTGAACTTGATGCGATTCCAGGATTCGAAAAGTGAAAGGCAACATTGCCACGATGAAGGCTAACACAACTGTAACAATCCATTTCTGTTGCTCCATGGCAGGAAATTCAGAACCCCCAGCTAAAAGGCTTGCTTTATCGAAAGCCTCAAAATGATCCAAGATTCTGGCACACAAAATATCTGCTCCTGATCCTTTCCCTGATAGCAATGAGAGTGATCACCAATTGATCCAAGAGAAGAGAACCAACAACCGAATCAAGCAAGTATATACGCCAAAACCCAGTTTCTTGCTCTATAACATATATCTTCTCTGATTTTCAGTTCCCGCTTCAGAGTCCTTGCTTTTGAGGGGATCTATATAGAAGAAGCATTATTTTAAGTTAACAAACGTGCAAATTAATGGCAGACCCCATGAATACAAGTCAAGCAATGATTGCTCAAAGTTGAATAATACACAAAAGAGATGAAGAGTTTTTCCCTTGATGCTCTTTCTCTCCCTCTCTCTCCTTTGTCCAAAGAGTATTGATTTATAGATTTAATTCATCTATTAATTTTTCACGTGTTGAAAAAAATATATCTATTATTATATTCGCTATTCTCTTGTCCTATATATTTTGGACGTATTATCGAACAAAGCACATCATATGACAGTCCTCACTTCCCTCTTATTAATAGATTTTGCATATAAAATATTAAAATTTATATATTTATATTATTTTTATATAAAAATTATATTTTATAATTTATGTTCATATAAAAATATAAAATATATATTTTTTAATTTAATTAAAATTATATAAAATTATTATAAAAATTTTAAATTATATTATTTTTATATTTTTACTATATTCATACTTATTAACTATTTTTTCGGCCCCTAACAATTTTCCACTCACCAATACAGTAAAAAATTAATTGCACTTGTCAGAAAACAGTTGCTGAGACAAAACTGCGGTGGATAGATGAGAGAAATTGAATATTGAGTATGGAAGAAGCATAGTGCTTTATTGCTACAAATATTAAGGTATTGCTCACCGACTCCCCTCGACGACTAGCAGCTGATTTCATTGCTACTTGTCCGAAAGACTTTTCACAAGTTAAGATTTTTAAATAGAATAAACTATTGAATCATTTACAATTTTTTTGATAAAAAAATATTAAATTTAAATTTTATCGATAATTATTTATTAAAGTTATTTTAAATATATAATTTTTAGTTATTTATTTTAAATTGTAAGTATGATATATTTTATTTTAATTTAAGAAATTAAATAATTGACCTATTTTAAATATTTAAAAAAAAACTAATTATTAGCCAATTCTATTCTATGAATCATTAGTGTTATTATTGTAAGAAAAAATATTTATATTTATTTAATTAATTATCACATAGTTCTGGCTTTTTTATTTTATATATTTCAACTAGTTGACGATATTCTAACAATGTCACTAACTATAAATATATACTGGTCAATCACCTTCTTTTTTTTTTTAATTCCAATCGAAAATTAAAATTAAAAAATTAAAAAATATACTTTTGTAGCATAGTGAAGGAAAATAACTAATTTTATTATAAAATTAACATACTGTTAGTTTAATATTACCGTTGCAATTGAAAAAGGTGAATTGAAAAATATATTTAAAAAGATAAAAAATGTGGTTAAAAATATTATTGTGAAAAAATATTGTGATAATTGAAATATATAAAAAAAATATTCATAAAATAATAAAATATTAAAAATATAAAATAATATAATAATTTTTTATTTTCAAAATATTTTTCACCACAAAAGTATCTTTTATGTATGGTTGGGATTATAAAATCAAATTTCTAAATTGAAAAACCATATATATATTTTTATTATTTAACATTAAAATAATTTTAAAATACAAAATTACTTTTAACAATAATATTAAACTAAATTTTACCAAAAATAAAGCATTACTAAAAATTTTCTAATTTATATCCAAATCAATAAGTCAAACCTACTATTATTATTATTATTATTTTTTTTTATTTAAGGGAACGTAAATTTCTATTATAAAAAGAGAGAGACTTGATTCGAAATCAAGTCTTTATATTTTCTTAAATGCTTTTATGGCCATTAGATTACGAAACGAATATTATATATATATATATATATATATATATATATAATGACTTAAAGTATATTTGCAGATTTTAATTTCAAAAGGTTGAGAAAAGTGGAGATTCATTTTTTAACTTGACTTTTTGAAGTCTTTTACTTGACTTCGGCTCATAAAAGAACATAATATCTTATTTCGAGTTTATTTTAGTTAATTGATACAGTTATTTTTAAAAAATAATAATTAATAAATTTTAAATTTAAATTTTTGCATTTATAATTTTTGTTAAAAAATTAAAAAAAATGCTATAAGTTTTGTTTAATTTGCTGATATTATTATTATTGTAAATATTTCATATTTCAAATATCAAGTACTAAAATGTGTCATGAATTGTCAACAACAATTTGATATCATATTTCAAATTTTTGGTGGAAAATAAGTATATGGTAGAAAAAGGATTTGACACTCTTTCATTAATTCTTTTCTCAATTTTTTTTTCAATAAATTCACCATCACCATGCATGTAAGAGATTAATTAACAATCAAATAAAAGTGATTATTAATGTATTAAAAAATAATAATAAATCCAAAAACTTTATTGATTCGATCCTATATAAATAACTCATGACACATTTTATGTAATATTCAATATAAATGAATTTGCATATATTAAGAAATGGGAGCCCTCATCATAACTGAAATTATTCTAACTCTTGAAAAGATTTTAAGAAATGTTTTGCAATAATAAGTTATGAAATTATTCTAACTCTTGAAAAGATTTTAAGAAATGTTTTGCAATAATAAATTATTTGATTTTTACTAAGACATAAATCATTTGATGAACTCCATGCGTACCCCTCCAATTTTTACATTGCTACAACTTGGTGTTCTTGATAACAATGTTACCCAATGCTTTCATCTTGATCGGCTTCCAAATCTTCCAATAGTTCTGACACTCCTAGTTTAAGATTGGTGTTCCTCTTCATCGTCTCGCCACCCCCAGGGATGTGAGCACTCTTGCCGCCGTACCAGTCATCGCATTGACCATCGCCGATGGTTGTCGTCGGTCAATGAAAAACACCAAAAAGACTCTCAGTCGTTCACTCCTATGTCCTCTTTTCAAATCCAACATCCATTTTGTCAGAAACAACCTCGATCGACGTAGATCGGGGCTTAAAGCTTTCGGTCTCCTTTCTTTTTCTTTTTCTTTTTTTATAAAGAAACTGATGATTTCTTTGCTTGTTTACAGGGCTTTCTGGCGCAGAGGTTCCTCCTTACGGGGAGGACTGTTTGTCTTTGTGTTTTTGTTTTTCTGTTTGTGTTTTTTTTTTTTTTTGTGGTTGGTGTGAGTTCTGTTTGGGGTTGTTGAAGGGAGAGGTTTGGCTTGATGTTTGAGCTCGAAACTAGAGGGTGCTGAGGGCAGTATGTCTGGAGGTTTCGAAGATCTGTCCGAAGGTTTTTCGAGAGGGGGTTTCCAAGAGAGCTAATCAAGAGGAAGAAGTTAAGGGGTTTTTAAGGAGTTCAAAAGGGAACAGGTGGTGGCAAAGTGGCTATAGGGTGGCTGTCTGGTCTGGTGGCTGGATAGAGGGCTAGTCAGGTAGGAGAATGGGCGGCTAGTGGCGGTTGCAGGGTGGTTGGTGCTAGGCATCAGTCGCCCTACTTTCTGCCATTTTCTGTTTCTTTTTTTTTTTGTTTTGTTTTAATTAATTAATAATTATTTTTTAAAAATATATATTTATTATTATTATTATTACTATTATTATTAATATTATTAATTTTAATAATAGACCCGGACAAAATGGGTGTTCACAGCTGCCCCTGTTTGCACATTACTGAGAATCAGGAATAGGGCAAAGACAAAGACAATGATTTTGTCTGAAAGCAAATCGTGGATTTTTAAAGACAACGATTTTGTCTGAAAACAAATTGTGAATTTTTTTTTAAAGCACAAAATGATTAGGATGACACCGCAAGTCAAAAAATAATGAATCGATCGAGATAATACTGTGAATCAAATTTATGCGCGGAGATCTTAAAAATAATGCCTGGAGGTCTTACACAATCATGCCTAGAGGTCTTACAGAATCGACTGGGATAACATCGTAAGTCGAAAGATAAGGAATCAATCAAGATAAAATCACGAATCAAAATTATGCTCGGAGGTCTTAAAAATCATGCTCGGAGGTCTTACATAATCGACTGGGATAACACCTCAAGTCGAAAGATAAGAAATCGATCGGGATAATACCGCGAATCGAAATTATGCCCAGAGGTCTTAGAAATCATGTCTAAAGGTCTTACAGAATCGATTGAAATAATACTATAAGTCAAAAGATAAGGAATCGATCTGGATAAAATCACAAATCAAAATTATGCCCAAAAGTCTTAAAAATCATGCTCGGAGGTCTTACAGAATCGACTGAGATAACACCACAAGTTGAAAGATAAAAAATCGATTGAGATAACATCGTAAATCAAAATTATGCCCAGAGATCTTAGAAATCATGTCCGGAGGTCTTACAGAATCGACTGGGATAACACCGTAAGTCGAAATATAAGGAATCGATCGGGATAACATCACGAATCAAAATTATGCTCAGAGGTCTTAGAAGTCATGTTCGGAGGTCTTACAGAATCGACTGAGATAACATCACAGTCGAAAGATAAGAAATCGATCGGGATAACCCCACGAATTAAAATTATGCCCGAAGGTCTTATGGAATCGACTGGGATAACACTGTAACTAAAAAAATAAAAAATCGATCAGGATAACATAGCGAATCGAAATTATACCCAGAGGTCTTAGAAATAATGTCTGGAGATCTTACAAAATCGACTAGGATAACACCGCAGTCAAAAAATAAAGAATCGATCGGAATAACACTGCGAATCAAAATTATGTCCGTAAGTCTTAGAAATTATGCCCGGAGGTCTTACAGAATTGACTAGGATAACATCGTAGTCGAAAAATAACGAATCGATCGGGATAACACCACGAATCAAAATTATACCCTAAGGTCTTAGAAATCATGAAAATCTTTGAATGCTCCTCCTAATCAAAGGTAATGAAACTTTAAAAATTTAAAAATCTTTTGCCCGGAGGTCTTGAAAGTTGTGCCCGAAAATCTTAGAGATTATGTCTGGAGGTTTTATAAATCTCAAAATATTTGAATGCTTGTCCTAATCAAAGGTAATTAAACTTTAAAATTTTGAAAATCTTTTTAAACATGGCTTTCGCTTGATCAGAGATTTTTGAGACTCTAAAGATCTTTTCTGAGGAAGGTTCTCTCTAAACAGAGGCTTTGAAATCTTAATTGAAATTAATTCCTCTTAAACAGAGGCTTTGAAATCTTGAAAAATATGCCCTTTTTTTTTGTTTCTAATACTTACAAAGTTG